GTTGTGCGACAGCATGTACAGAATCCCTTCATGCAGGCATCCGAAACAGCACGCCAGACAGTGGGAACACACGGACGACCAATCAGTACTGATACAGTACGCCGTAGTAACGTAACAGCGGGAACCTCCATTGCCGTAGACCTTACCGTGGACCTATCCTCACCCCTCGTCATCGACGTGAACGTCTACAGTTTGCCCTACAACACCAAAACTGGCGATACAGGAAATGGAGAACTGTTCTCATGAGAGTCGGTACTGCGTATCAACTGCAGATGGCAGAACAAGAATATGGCGACGACACGGCCAGCATTACTCAGACCAATGTGCTATGGAAAGAGACTCATGGGGAGGTGCAAGCATCATGGTATGGGGTCGAAGAGGTGGTGTTCCAGAACCTTGGTCCAGAGTGAGGAGGCGGCATCACAGCGGTGCGCTACATCGACCAAGCTTTCAAGACCCCACGTCATACCACATTTAGCACGTCACCGGAACAACATTTTCCAGCATGATAACGCCCGGGCCCATACTGCCAGAGCTACGCGGGACTTCCTACAGCAGAGCGGTGTCAACATTATGCAGTGGCCAGCCTTTAGTCCTGATTTAAACCCAATTGAACATCTTTGGGATGAAATTCAGATTAGACTGAATAATGTCATACCAAGGCCGAACACAGCCGATTTATTGCGCCAGGCCTTTCTCAGAGTGTGGTTCCAGGTGCCAATGGCCTTCATCAATCGATTGGTGCACTCCATGCATAGACGCTGTGGTGCAGTTATTGCCGCTCGTGGTGGTCACGCTAGATACTGAAGTCAAGAGTCTGAATGGACTGCAAACGTTCACGTAATGTCTTGAAATTGTGCTGAGTTATTTATTGATGTGTCAAGATATTGTACACAAAAATGTTTTTGATCCGCTTATTATGTCCATTTCTGTAATAATTTGATTAGAGTGCCGATCTAATTTTGAATTCGTGCTGACGGGGTTTTTTTTACTGCTGAGTATATATTCATCACATTATTATTTAAAAACAGAAAATGTTGTTAGCACCAAATTCAAAAGCAGGCAATTCGTTATTGACGTTACACATACTCCAGCCGCGATTAGCTGCAATGTGGCTCAGAGCAACATGTATTCACTTACTCTCATCACAGCAGAAACTCTGCGCTTGTACGTAATTCAACAATTAATTTATTTATTTATTTTCAACAAATTCGGTTTATTCACTATCGTGAGACTGGATATTTTCGGTACATCATCTGAGTGTTAGGTTTGTAAATTCCACCGAATCATGGCAAGTATTGCTGTGTTGCTGTTGTTGTTTAACTCTGCACTCAGCAATATTCCAGCTATTTGACAGCGGTCTGTAAATAATCGAATCCGGACCAGACAATTCATTGATCAGCAGCATGAGCAGCGATTCTACCGAAAGGGCGGGACGTGTTGATGTCATCATGATCAGTGATCCAGTCACATAATTCTCCCTGTTGGTTTGAATTATGTTTTCAGTGTAATCTGGTTCGTCGAATATTCTCAGGCGTGTGCTATATATTGTTATCCAGACTCATGTAAGAATGTCGAGTTTTGATTGGTTCACGTGACTCTAATAAAATACCATGTACACCCGTCACGATCCGCGAGCAGGGAGTACAAAAGACATATTATTCCGCCACGCCTCGGTGACCACGCGAAGTGAGAAAAGCGTGCATCGCCAAGCCTTTAGTAACGTGCGCTGCATTGAGGTCAATCGATCAGCTGTTGTCAACATGGCAGCAAGGAAAGGTTTTGCCACAACAACTGAGAATGAAATTGAAGCAAAACGTTGTTTGATTTAGTAAAAACATTCGGCTAGATAAATGCGTTATCACATCCGGTCTCGGGAAATACGGGTTTTATCAGTCCCTCGTAACCCCGTATTTCCCTCGACACGATGTGATAACGTACATAATCAGGGTGGGATGAAAAGATGACCTTTCTCAGAAGCAATGTGACAATGTATGGTGTATTGGTGCAACAAACTCAGAGCGTTGTTTGCGCGACCTTTCCATTGTGAATATTCATGCCATGCAAGGGGCGGTAGGATAGCCTTGTGGTTAAAGCGTTCGCTCGTCAAGCTGACGACCTGTGTTCGATTCCCCACATGGGTACAATATGTGAAGCCCATTAGTGGTGTCCCCCGCCGTGATAGTGCTGGAATATTGCTAAAAGCGGCGTAAAGTCATACTCACTCACTCATAACATGTCATTTTAAATCTGTAGCGCGATAGTGGCGCAGATGCTCACTTGAAACGTGCTGATTAATGAATGTGACAGACAAACAAATCCGTGGCATGATCGAAATGCAATCGTTCTGGGGATATGCTATTACATTTAGTCAATACCGGAATGACCCCAGCAAGTGTATATTCAAACACGATGTTTGCAATATTGATGTGTTTCAAGACCAAGGTGATGTATGAATAAATGATCTATACAAAATCAACTTTTATCGTATCACAAACGGAAGCTTACTGACAGTTTGGAAGTGTGTGCAAATAGCATGGACTCTGTGTAAATACCAGGAGTTTAGCTATCGACATGTGTCTTCCGTCAAAGCTTTTAGTTTTGGCTTTGTATTAATAAATGCGTCGAGAGGTGAGGTCTGTTCTGAAAGTCACCGATATTCATCCTCCATGTAGAATATCGAATTTGACGCGGCTTTGAAGGCTGCATGCCAGCTGAAACTGAAGAAAAAGTCTAAGTGAAGCAGGCCGTACGTCTGAAACCCAAAAGCAAAGATATAGTGCTCACAAACCATGAATGATCAGATAATCTGGAAAACGAACCCATCATGAGCGGAACCATACACGGCTAAGGGACGCAACTCTCCACCGCGAAACTATTTAATAGGTACCGTATATAATATAGATAAGCCAATCTCATAGATAGGCCGAGTTCCTAACTTGACCCTTAAAATCTGTATCAAAATGGTATGTTCGGTACATGGGCCGAACCACCAACCTTCGTTCATCTTCTCGTCTTAATCAGTCTCCGGAAACAAAGTGTTAGCAAATACATATTGAATTATGCAAGTGAATCCTGTTGTTACACTATCTCGTAATAAAACATACAATATGTTACCTAAATAGGAATGCATAAGGGCGAGTGGATACCGTTTTTGCAAAACCCTGGTTTCATCACTGATTTTCACGGATCCTTTCAAATAATTTTCATTTTCTCCGTTTCGGTAGGCAGTGTCGACTGATTGGTCTCTTGGACGTTCTATATTTTAGTCGGCACTGGTCGGAGTGAGTAAGAATTCATACTGATTTCGGCAACATGCTATTGCAGGGACATCCTTGAGAACAGTGAGTGGTGTTAGGGTTTAGCCGCTTTTAGCAATATTCCAGCATTATGCGGCTGCTTGACATCGCACAGCAATACACCCCTGATGATCTGGGTTAGAATTGGTCTTCAGCAACCCATGCTTGTCATCAGAGGTGACTAACGGGGTCGGGTGGTCGGGCTCACTGCTCATGCTGTTGATCAATGGATTGTTTGGTCCAGATTCGATTATTAGTGTGTGAGTGAGTTTGGTTTTACGCCGCTTTCAGCAATATTCCAGCAATATCACGGCGGAGGACACCAGAAATGAGCTTCACACATTGTACCCATGTGGGGAATCGAACCCGAGTCATCGACGTGATGTGCGATGGCTGTAAACCACGAGGCTACCGCATCGCACCCTTAAGAACAAACGCATCTAAGAAACACGTGAAGTGAATAATCTGTGCTATAACTGTACTTCTGTATTTCTTGCAGCAATGTTCGCGTCTATCTACATGTCAGTGGGGTCTGCCTTCATGACATCAGCTAACGCCAACAAATACATCATCTACACCAGCGTCATGACCTACTGCAACTCCGTCATCAACCCAATCATATATGCCTTCAAGCTACCGCCGGTCCGGAGGAGGTTCCTTGTCCTCTTCTGCAGGCGAGATGCAGGCGTTGGTGAACACACAGCTGCCTAGACTGCACCTGCGTAGACTGCACAGACCCTCATGTGCGTCTGTGATTAGCTTTTTTCGTACGTTACTTAATGGTGCACCTTTAGCAATACTTAACAAGGTGGAATCTGGACCAGACAATCTAGTGATTGACATCCTGAGCATCGACGACCTCGACTGGCATACGATGACATGCAATTAATCAAGTCATGTGTACTGTGATGTGCCAGCAACCAAACACGTGATAGTCTGTGCATTCTAGTCAAGGGAGGTCCACACACTTCTATTTCGAGAAATAATTCGATTCAACAGATGGAACATATCTGACGAAGATTGGATCCATTGACTGACCTCTTCGTCACAACCAGAAACATTCAGTCATTGCCTTTAGGACTGTAAAATTGTCCCACATATGTCAAGAAGTGTAAAAGTGGTTTCATTTTCCCACTAATACCCTTAAATGTTGGTCTCTGGTCTGTCCCGAGCAACAACTGTGACCAGCTCGTTTTGTACTTTTCCCACGTGTTTACTCTACAAACAATATGTCGATCAATCTCCTTCAAATTCTTTTTGCCAACATCATATGGCTATTTGTAGAAATATGTACAGGACGTCGATTTTTTTTTCACTTTCTGTGATACCGCTGATATGTGGGACATATCACCCATAATTTGAAAATTAAACGAGACTTACCTGTAAGGTGAAGTTTGATATAAATTCTCCGAGGTACCAGGGCACAAGTGAGATCACATGAGATTGCGCATGCGCAATCGGGTTTCAGTCTTTAAAGCCTGTACTGTGAACTAATGGATACCCTACAGAAAAGAGGGTGGGAGGGAGTGGCATGTGATCTCACTTGTGCCCTGGTACCTCGGAGAATTTATATCAAACTTCACCTTACAGGTAAGTCTCGTTTAATTTTCAAATTCTCCTTCAGTACCAGGTCACATGAGAGACCACATGAGATTTTAAAGTTTAGTTCACAGTACCTAACAAAACCACCATAAAACAAGGTGTCATCAAACATATTTATTCTAACTAGTTTTCAAATTTATAACATGTTCCATCATCAGGTATCACACAAGATTGTTAAGAAAGCAATATTATTGTACAGGCAATAGTACCCTTCTCTCATGTCATATAATGGGCTTACAATCAGATATACCTGATATCTCAAATCTCAGTTATTAAGCATAATAACCACAACTAATGAATACTGGACAAACTCCCAATTTTATGCAAGTTGGAAGAAACAATGTGAAAGGCATAGCCATACCTGATATATTGATCACTGAACATCACAAGACACGTGTAACACATTATGGAAATGCTACAACACTGCTATGCTATTTGTAAGAAAGCAATTGTCAAAGACATAACCACTCGAACTCAATCTGACTTAACACTTCCATTACTTATACTGATGATCCATGAGATAAAATGGCATTACCAAATAAGCAGTTTGACATGACTGGTTTTTCATAAAACTTTGCAAAAACACAGGTAGATGACCAGCCGGCTGCTTCCATAATCTGATGCATGGGTACACCTGCACTTGAAGCTGCACTTGTAGAGGCTGATCTGGTGCTATGTCCTGAGAATATAGACACATCTACACCGGCTTCTCTCAAAACGGTCTTAAGCCACCGGGATATAGTCTCTGTTCCTACAGCTTTGTATGGTTTAGTAAAACTTATCAACAGCTGAGGAGATGACCTAAGGTCTACAGTCCTATCTATATACACATCTAAGCAAGAAACTACACATAGGCTTTCAACATCAAATCTTTGCAACTCAATAGGTTTCAAGTGACAGCCTGGTCTAGACTGTTTTAGCAAATCCGTTATCTTGAAAGTTACCCTCTCTCCACTCTTGATCATATTATCTATACTCAAACACTTAAGAGTCTGGGATCTCTGTCCAGTGACCAATGCCAATAACATTGTCAATTTCACTGTTAAGTCCCTGAGTGATAATAAATTGTTCATCTCCTTCTTCTTGAGAAAATCTAGCACTACACTCACATCCCAGGTCTGTTGATACTTGGGGAGTGCTGGTCTAGAGTTAAAAACACCTCTTATAAACCTTTTAACCAGCACATGTTGTCCTATAGGAGTACCTGAGGGTAGGCATAAGACACTAGATAGGGCACTTCTTGCGGTATTTATAACACTGTATCCACAGCCCCTGTCATACAACTGGGTCAGGAAACCAATCACAGGTACGGGGTCTGCTTCAAGTGGATTTAACCCAGAATTAATACAGAATTGTTCCCACTGAATGAGGTAGGTCTTATACTGACTGCGAGTACCTGTGCGCCAAGAACTCATAATAATTGAAATAGATCGTTCGGAGAGACCAAGGTCTTGAAGACTCTCCCCGACAAATGGCACACTAGAAGTTGCATTTTGGCAGACAGGGGGTGAACAGCTGCTGGCTTGTACGGTAATACTAGAGTTGTCTTTCTTCTGGGAAGAGACCTTGGAGCGGAGAGACACATTTTCATTGCCACTGGGTACCAACTCTGACTTGGCCAGTTGGGTAGGATTACCAGTCCTTCTGCCTTGTCTGACCGAATCTTCTGGATCACTTGTTCCAGGATGCTGAATGGGGGAAAAGCATAGAATTTATATGGAGACCAGTCCCACATAAAGGCGTCAACTAAGAAGGCGTCTGGATCTGGACGCCAAGCAATGTAACAAGGTACTTGTGCATTAAGACGGGATGCAAATAAGTCTATTGTGGGAACAAAGTAGTGATTGGTTATTTTAGTAAATAATGTCTTGCCCAGCATCCACTCAGTCTCATCGTGGAAAGTTCTACTCTCTCTATCAGCGTCAATGTTCTTACAGCCAGGCAAGTGTGAAGCAGATAACCACATGTTATTGTTCATTGCAAATAACCAGATTTCTTTGGCCATAGTATGACAGTTCTGAGATTTGGTACCCCCAAAGTGATTAATGTAAGCCACTGTAGTTGAATTGTCAACCCTTATTCTCACATGATTTCCTCGTAACACTAGGGCGAATGATTGGAGCCCAAATAACACAACTTTCAGTTCCAGGTAATTAATGTGGTCCGACAAAACACAATCATGAGCTGCCCACGCACCTCCTGTTTTCACATTCCCTTCATACAGCACAGCACCCCATCCCTGCAAGGATGCATCGGTAGTCAGAACCTGGGTGGGCATATCACGTGAAATAGGGGCAGAACTGCCCTCAATATTGTCATTCCACCACTTCAGGTCTTTTCTACAAATATCAGAAATTTGCATCATAGCATCAAAGTCACCCTTGGCATTCTTTAATGCCAAATTTTTCTCAATTTCAAGTTGTTTCGTGAACAACAAAGGCAAAGGGATTGCAATTGCATAAGCAACCATGATTCCAGTTAGTTCCGCAATTTCACGGATTGTAACACTTTGTTTTACAACAATACAAGAATATTTCTCCTTGAACTTAGTCACTTTTGACTGTGTAAGAGAGATTGTCATGGCCGTTGAATCGAGCACAAATCCCAGAAACACTATGGACTGGGAAGGTACAAGCACTGACTTTTCACAGTTAATCACAAATCCTAAATTTTCCAACATATCTCTTGTGACATTAATGTTGGTTTGACATTCCAGTTGGGATTGTCCTTGTAAATACGAGTCATCTATGTAAGCAACTGAGAGAAAACCTTGTTTCCTCAAAGTACTATACACTGGTTTCAGCAGCTTCGTAAATACACGAGGTGCAGATGTCAAGCCAAATGGCATACATGTGTACTGATACATCTCACCTCTCCAGATGAACCTGAGAAAACACCTATCTGCCTCAGCAATGCTAATAGAGTAGTATGCCTCTTTAAGGTCTATTGACCCCATAAAACAATTAGATGTCATAAGTCGCATTGCTGAATGTAAATGTTCCATTTTAAAATGGCACTTCTGTACTGATTGATTTAGTGATTTCAAGTTGAGAATCACTCTAAACGATTCATCCGGTTTAGGAACTAAGAAAACAGTGCTGATGTACTGATTGGTAGAAGGGGTAGCTTTTTCTAATACACCCTTTTTTAACATTGTTGACACTTCATTGTCTAGATACAGTGCCTGTTTACCTCCCAGTTTAGTTTCCCTGAATGAAGACTGAGAAGGAAAGTCAGCAAATTCAATGTGGTAGCCCTTAACAATTTGATGGATATAAGGGTCCGATGTTAAAGTTTTCCAAGCCTCGAGATGATATGATATCCTACCACATACTGGAAGACTCTGTATAGTATCATAAAAACTCACTCTTTCTAAAGAAATTTTGTCCTTTTCCCAGCTCGTTGAGGTCTGCGGCTGTATGGGTGACTGAACCGTGGGCCGCCGTTTCCTAAAAAACGACCCCTTCCCCTCTGTGAGCCACCTCTTGTACCTCTAAAGACAGGCGGTCTGCTTTGGCCACCTCTTTGATAGGGATGAAAATGATGAGATGTCACATTATGTACCTTGGTCACCAACTTATTGGTGTCAGTCAGTTCTTTTATCTGTTCAGATAAATTATCCCCGAAGAGATATTCTGTGATTGGGTTGGTGTGGGCACAAAGTTGTTTAAATTCAGGGCGTATGTCCCCTCTAATTGCGTCCCTCCTCTTCAAACTGAGGTCTAGATTAGCTGAGGCAATCAAGGCAATGCCATCTACTAGCTGTGTCACCAGGGAGGACACATCAAATGTTTCCTTATTGCACAAAGTGTCCACCACCTTCACAATTGGAACTAACCCCTTGCATATGGAGTTCTGCACTTTTTGCGCTCTGATATCTCGTGACTTACTGTCTGATTCCATGATACGCCATATCTCGCTGTTAACACGGGATGGTTGTAACTTGGGACAGTTTTCAGGGCGGGCGTGTTTTTCGAAGATTTCTGCCTTTTGCTTCTCATCAAGCTTTGTGATAAGCAGACCCTCCACTAAATCTGCCAATTCAGTTTCGATCCGTGGCCCTGTTTGATCGGAAACTTTGAATACACTAGCAATTTTCCCCAGATCACACACCGGCTTAGAGGGTTGACTGGGGGCCGCCATATTGTTTTGATGAGCAGGGGAGCTAACTCCAGCTGCTTGCTGTTCTGAGGGCCGCTGAGCGGTGCTAGGTCCAGCTATTGGCTCGCTTGCCTCTGAGAGGCATTGCTGTGAAACGCTGTCGTCAGCTCTATAAATAGACCCGTCGCACTGCGAGCCCTCTGGCTCGTAAAGGATATGATTTTCCAGTTCTGTGACTTTGTCAAGAACTTTGTTTATAACTGCCATTTGATTTTTCTCCATCATATGAAGTGCCTGTGTGAAAAACTCGGCACCTTTGTCCGCACTTACACTTGTTGAAAGTTTGTCAAAATGACCACTGGTCCCTTTTGGACAGCCAATAGAGATACTGTCACCAGATTTCTCTTCATCAATGTTATTACATTCAACACTCGGGGTTGTTTCCTCTGAAACAATTTCTTCCCCATTGTTCACTTTTGGGTCTGATGATAACAGTTCTTGTCTCGACTCCCGCTTTCGGGCAGACGAAGACTGACCCAACAATTCATCTTGTAATTTTGCCAAGATGGCCGTACCCCGAGTTGGTGAAGCCATGGGGGAAAGGTAAGAGGACAGAAAAACTTGACAAAATGGGACTTACATGCGGCGAGCGTGAATGGATAACGTGCCCAAAGTTCCAAGTAAACAAATCCAAATGTCCAAGAAAGTCACAAAACACAAGAGCACACAAATTCCAAGAATTGAAGAGCTGATCAACCAAGGCTTCGACTTCTACCCGAGTTCACATTTGCACTGAAACCCGATTACGCATGCGCAATCTCATGTGGTCTCTCATGTGACCTGGTACTGAAGGAGAATTTGAGTTTCCTCCGACACTGCCCTGAACAAGTAATTCGTTTTATATCAAGAAACTGTATGAGCCGAATAGATGTTCGTCTTGACCACTGTGCAGAACCCACGAGCAAGAATATGGTTTTCATAACACTCTTAATTAGTAGACCGAAAATGGGATTCGAACACAGGGCCATAGGTTCGAAGAGACGCAGTTCAGCACAAGTTGGGTTGTCTCCAGTCTACCCACAATGTATTGCGTTGACTTTGTTAAACAGATTTGAACAGTATCTTTCAGTAGTTTAGTAGGAAGACAACCAAATCCTTTTGGGACAAAACTTCCTATCTTAACAATTTTCCTCTAAAGAGTTGCAGGCTAGTCAAATCCAACCAACGTAGGCTGCAATGACACCTTGTGTAGTTAACTTGCACTCAGGAAAACGCCATCAGGATGGTGCAGAGTATGAAGAATGGGACTGCATCTGGGATGTTAACTGGGTCCACCTTAACTTGGCACAAAAGGGTTCCACAGTGAACAACCGGCACCTGCACCTGCACGGATATTATACTGACAAGCTTCAACTGCCAGTCAGGTCCGTTGGTTGAGCTTACCAGGAACATCTTGCGCCCACGGGGACTAGTCAGTACTGTTTCAGCACAATATCTACTGGCCCATAACTGTCTCTTAGCCTTATTGTCAGTAGATCCTACTCCTTAATATATCCCAGATGACCAAATGAATGACTATGCATACAAGTGTCTTTATACACAGACTGCTAGAATGCATGTAGGGTATTTATTGTCAGTATTAAAGTATCAGGTAAATTATAAATTGACTGCGTTCTTGTCACATGAAATGGCACAAAGTAAAAATAAAAACAAGTAAGTGAAGTGCTCATGATTTTACTTTGATAAAAGCACATCAACATTTTCCACATGTACAAGACTGCAACAGCACAAGCACACAAGGTGGTTGCTCACTTGAACCATAGTTTTGTACTGTTCAGGCTCTACACAGCTGCAAGCCTTACATTCAGACCAGTAAGCTCTCAGACTGCGCTATGCCAGTCTCCCTTGGCAGCATCATGCATACTGTAGACAAATACTTCCCACAGGATATTTTACAAAGATTGAAAACAAGAGCATACATCAAACAGTTAACATAATCCGAAAGGAAAATTGCTCAAGGTCTTCAAAATCGAAGACGAGACATTTTGAAGTTGTTTATTATACATTTAATACAGAGATTATCAAAATGTGTCCATGCATATAGATCTATAAATACATGTTTACACAGAAGCATAAACCCTGAATCTTTAAGTAACTCTATCATAAATAATGAACACATGAAGCTGAATGTACACAATGTTCAAACAGAAGTTCATCTTAAGTGGTGATATGAACCAGGAAGTGGATGCAACCGGACACCAACATCAAGTGTACACAAAGGAGCCATGACAGACAACACACATCTCCACAGCATATGTATGCACTGACATAAATGCAGTCCGTCAATACAGATAGTGGTTCAGCTGGACCTCTTGTCGACTAACGACCAATACTTCAACACTGTAATTTGCTTCAAAAAAATAGGTCTTATTAAAATATTACACAAACTTCAGCCTTGTTAGGCATACAGAATACATTTCAATGTTGTGGCAAGGTCTTAGACTTGATCATTACAATTTTTGGGGAACTAATGACAAGCAAATAATGAAATCAATGGAAAATGCTAAAACCTTGGACATTGTTTTCATCACACTAAAAGTACTAAACAAAATGAAAACAACATAAAAACAGAACATTAACCACAATATTAATGTCATGTGATAAAAATGAATTCTGTGATCCGTTATACACACAAATGGAAAGTTATTTATGATTAGTTCATGATACCGTGATTCAACAGGTAATTGATTCAACAGGTAATAAGGAATCTTTCCCACCTGTGCAGGCAGGCTACAGGTAAGGTGTCCCTAGTCTTGACCCAGCGACACAGAAGCTGGCACGTCAATTAGTTCTTTATAATACAGCACAACAGTCCTACGGTGTCATTACACAACACAACAAACCTAGGACATTGTCATGGCTATTGAGGCCAGATTACCAGAAGATATAGACTGATGGTCAAGGTTGATACAAATATCGAGCCATCCATACTCTTGCATCCAAAGCTGTCCATGTGACGTACCATGTATTATCCCTTTATTTCCTCTCTAACATGCTAGTCTACACAACACACTCAGTTGTCGGCAGTGTCCATACAAGCTCCTTCATCACCGTCCTTCTTATCCTTCTTCTCACCTGCTGTAAAGGAACAGGATATTATCTGTAGACTAAGGATTTCATACACGACCACATCATTTTTACGACTAGTTATTCATATCAAAGATGATTTGTGGATAAATAATAAATGTATAACTTACTAAAACAAAATAAATACAGAGTACACCATACTGAGATAAAGAAAACAGACATATTTTACCCTGGTGAAATCTTTAAAGGTCACATGCAACCAAAAAATCAAACATACTTTAAACACTATTATCACTTATTCATGACATATAATATACATTGGTGATTATGAAAAAACATATAAACAAACTTATAAGCGTACAATCGCAAATCAAAAGTGCAATATTTTGTACATGGGTTTACTTCCCAAGAAACGAAGCAGCCGTGATACCGAACCCAGTCAGAGCGGGTGGGTGTGCACTCAAGTGTAACGGCTGGTTCATTTGCAGATGCCCTCACCGTTCATTGTGTGTGTATATATATAGAGATGTTGTGTTTTGTAAATACATGCTCATTTTTTGTGTATAACAGTTTGCAATCAACAGACATCATAACATGTCATGTGTACAAGTATCACACCTGCCTGTCTGTGTAATTACATAATGTGACAGAGACCGAACTCGGGCCATAAATCAATGCATTTTGTTTATGGTGTATAGCCTGATAGGTGTTAAGTTCAAATTGCATGTGGTCAGTGATCGAAGATGTGTATTGAATATTATCATTAGCAGACAGGCAGGCAGACACATAGGTGTCAATAAAACAGACATTGAGTTTTGTCTGTGACAACAACATATCTATATCACAGTTAGAAATTCTGTCAACACTAAATAATGACATTGCTTTTAAGTATCGAACTGAGAAAGTGACTCGGTAAGAAGAACGTGTGGTGAAATAGACAAATGAAATTATATAAACAGTTAAATCGGTAATCTACTGTCATAACATATAAAAAGCGTTCGCCTGAGAAATATCAACAAAACATTAGAAAAATAGCTCACACCAAAGCCTTCACCGAGCCTTCACCAGACAACCAGCTTCCAAGCTGCGCGAACCTATTTCACTGGGCGTGCAGCCCAGAGCAGCACAGCTGTTGAAACCACTTTTCCCCAAAGCACTGGGGGAAAGTTAGTGAATCGTTTGAACTCCGATTTTGCACGGTTTTTTTCTTTGCGTTACTTTTCAACTTTATAAGTTGAATTTGCATTTTTGATGATTTGTTTGGGCAAGTCCATACCGAAAGGTAACAGAATCTGCAAAGTTGTGTTTTAAGTTGCATGTGACCTTTAAGAAACTATTTCTTTGCTTATGCTACCAACATTATATTGCACCACAATCTATTAGCAGCACACATATATTGATTCCTCACACCCACCTTCACCATCCCCTTCTCCTCCAGCTGAACTTGTTCGCCGTCTCTTGCGCGGGTTGAACTTCTGTCGCTGAAACCGCGGTGGAGGGAGAGGATCCATACCTAAGACTTTATGGATTTGACGGAATGCAATCAGCCTGAGGGCATGCTGAAACAAAATAGGCTTCATTATAGGTCAAGTGGTTACATCATGGTGCTTGCTCCACTGGCAGAGTACGTATATTTTGTCCAAACCATATGCTGCAAGAGGGATGGTTTGTTTGTAGTTGAAAAAATATAAGTTCAAATTCATGTTAAGTCGAACGAATTAAAGCTGAAAAACTGAACAGAAAGTGATGTCACTTCATCCTACAATCCAAACCTGAGACTTCACTTAAAGGTGAGGTGAAATTGGGTTTAATGTCGTGCTTGAGAATATTTCGCTCATATGACGATGTGACTTCACTTAAAGGTTAAAATCATGACACATTTCAATGATAATTTGAATGCATATGTATGAATGAGCATTGTTTGCTGAGAAACACAGTTTCTTACAATCTCAACACAAAAGAAAGGGTAGTTCAACATGGATGCCTGGCTATCCTTGGTTGAACAGTTTCAGCCGAGCTCTCCCTCCTCAGCAGTACGCACCTGAGCTGAGGCTGTGATTTCCTCTCTCTGTTGATTGGTCAGTGACTGAGCAGCATCAAATGCTTCTTTCTCACAAGGGTCATACAGCCCGGGGCCACCTAGAAGAAATGAAAACAAGGAGCGTGCACTAAGTCAAGAAACACATGACAAGGGCTATAACTATGTAACAAATTGTAACTCGGTTATATTTAGAACTCCATCAAGGCATTCATGCCCTGAAAATACTTACCAAGTTTGGTTTCCCTATCTATAACAGTTTTTGAGAAAATCTGACCCCATCCTCTTGGATGGACGGACAGATGGACGGACGCAGCTCAAACCAATATGCCCCTACCACATCGTGGCGGGATAATAACATTGTATATTTCTGCTGTTTAATACACTACTCAGTAACAGCCTAGCTGTATCATGGCAACCTGTACATATATTCGACAAGCTATGGTGTTAAGTACACTTACATGCAATCTGAGACTGATGATCCAGCCAATGAAACAACACAAGAGTATGTGGTCTAATCCGAACCAGGAATTCCCGTGGGGAAATTATGACAGATCAAACTTAGAAAATTACCTCAGTAAATGTGGGAGAAATGCACAATATATTCTTTGCTTGCCATTTAATGCTTCCCTCAGTATTACAGTTAGATGATAAAGGCATGTAAATAACTGGAGTCCAGGCGTCACTTGCATAAAGGGATCTTAGTGCTATAATGATCTAACTCCCACACTCAACATAGCCTTAAGATACAATTTTGTTGTAGCACTAGGATCGCTTTGTGCAAGTTGGCCCAGTATTGATTCTACACAGTGATTTAGCATTTTACACTGCTGGGCTTCCCAAATCACCTTATTTACATAATAATCATGTACAGATTTTTCTCTTACCTGGCAGCAGGATTCCCGATGAAATACATTCAAAGACCCGGCGGAGTGCGTCTCCAGGGCTCATTTGTATACCCCCACTGCCTACACACTTCTCCACCAGTAGCTCCATGGCCTGATTGGTAAAATACAACAGTAATATTTATCTAATACACTGACAAAGCTGAAGATAGTCATTAGTGAATGTCAGCAATATTCCAGCAAGATCATGCAGGCCTGTACAAGGTCCTGTCTGGCCACAGTCAACTCAGTCACACATTGTAGCCGCCTCATGTCAGTTCTCAAAAAATAATATGGTGACCTGTTCTACTCGAGAATCAACAGGAGGCACCTAAAAATAATTAAGGTTTATATAAAACAAGAAAAAGTCAATTATATATAATAATTAGTTAGTGATTGAGTATGGATTTACGCTGCTTCTGGCAATATTCCAGCAATATAACGGCAGAGGACACCAGAAATGGGCTTCACACATTGTACCCATGATGGTCCTTGGCATGACAAGCGAACGCTTTAACCACTAGGCTTCCCCACAGCCCCTATATACAACTAACTACCCGTTATATACTTAAAAAGCGATAAACCTCTCCAGCCACAAGGATGAACATGCAAAGGTTAGGTCATAATATTTATTCAACAACATGAATAAATAACTCTTCTTTTAAGAAAACTAAATTAAAATCTTTGGAGTGTAATTCTTCTGTCATCAGTTTTCTCAAGATTTCGAACAAGAACATGTTTCTAATGTCAGACATGTAACAGTTTCTCATAGTGAGTGACAATAGCTGAATGAGATCATATGTAACATTGCTTTTCCAATCTCTCACATTTTTTAGTTCAAGAAACGTTAAAGAATGTTTTGAGGTAATAGATAGAAGCTGCTTCTGAAAACGTTGAATTCAATGAAACACAGATAAACACATGCTGTATGACAAACATATTTTAGTACTGGCAATGACAAAGCCTATCTTGTGATGGAAAACTTGTAGTGCCACTAAACCACAATCCCTCCTCCCCTACCCATTTCTATAAAAAAATAACCACAGCAAACATGTTTCAAAGGTGTTAAAGAATGCTTAGTGAGTGAGCCAGTTTAGTTTAACGCTGCTTTAAGCAAATATTCCAGCAATATCATAGCGGGGGACACAAGAAATAGGCTTCACACATTGCACCCATGTGGGGAATGAAACACAGGTTATGGCTTTTTACATCATTCGAGCATATGTGAACAAGTTCTATTGTAAAAGTATTCACAATTCTGAAAGCTTTCTGTCATTGCAATATATGTGTAGCTGTACACAACTGTTTCTGTATGTACAGAAGAGAAATTAATTTGATATTTTCTGTCTGTCCTGCCCTGTAATAATCATGAGGTACTCCCATTTCCTGGCCTTACTCAAGAGAAACAATTTGAGAATTGTATATCATTCCAGTGATTTTCCACCTACCCATTCACTAAGCGGGGTCCATGTGGGGACTCTCTGGCACAGGTCCCGTAGTATACGAATTACCACCACACAAGACTGGAGTCCATTAGCTCTAGCCTAAATGAGATGGATGTTGAAGCAGCAAGATTAGACATACAAATACTTTCACATGAATCAAATAATTCAAGAATCTGACCGTGAAGATAGTTCCTCATTCAGTCTATCTACCTTCAAACTTAGGCTTTAATACTTTCACCATGCAATCAATGGTTACAAATCAAACAAAAAAAGCAATTTCGCCAGATTCTTGAATTTTTTAACAGCATTTTTGGGCCAACCATTTGTCTCTATGTTAATGTCACAAGGATACAAGTACATACTCAATGTTTCAGCTGCCTGATCTCTGGGAGTTATGAACGGGGCAAACAATATGCGTGCTGGTTCGAACAGTATGTCACTATAGGCCATGTGACAGCTGTGAGACAAATGGACGACGTGACACCATAGACGTACGGACGGGTGGACAGATAAGAAAACCCGACCGACTCCGGCGTCCACACTTTCCAGCCTCATGTACACTGAGCCGCGAAGTAGATGCATGTATGGTACAGCCAATGTCCAACAGACAGTACGGACAGATGACGCAGAGATGGATGAAACCACGACCATCCTGGTTATCTTTGAGCACCTACAGTCTGATCACTCACCCTTCCTAACCCATTTCAGTAGGTCACCTTCCAATTCTCAAGACCCATGGACAAAATTTGACAAAATGTTTAGAGAACAAATTCAAAGATTTTTCATAAACATCTGATGTTGTTCAAAGTATCTCTGTACTGACAGACAGATATAATGATCCCTATCAGTGTTCTTCCTAAGATTCAACATTATCACAGTTAATGCTTTTTGTTTCTTGCTAAGCGTTAAGAGGAACAGACCCCATCCAATACAGTTGTGCAAGTGTAGATACATGAACAAAAAGAATTCACAATGACATGTCAATCACTAAGAATTTGAGCACTCACATGCATAAAATGTTTACTCTTCAAAATACACAAGTAAATAATAGTGTTAGCTCAAAGATGACCAGGTAGTAATGTGAGGATCCCTTTCAATGCTCTACCACTACTTACAGTATTACATTTCAAGGCAGTAGTATACTACTCAGCTACAGCAACGAGCAGCCCCACTCAACTCGCGTCCCTCACAAGTGTCCACACGACTCAGCATTCTCAACGATCTCACATCCCCGAGACCATCCACACAGCCATCACAGAAACCCATGTCCCTCCGAGCATCTGCACGTCCCTCGTCCCTCTGAGCATCTGCACATCCCTCTGAGCGTCACATGACTCACACTCAGCAATCACAACGATCTCACCTGTGAGAGCATCCACACAGCCATCACAGAAACCCACGTCACTCAGAGCATCCGTATGACTCACAGCAATCACAACCAACTCACGTCTTACTCCACACAACTCTCAAATCCACCCCAATTCTGGTTCTTTGTCCCCAAAACTTGCCATTTCCAAAACAACAAAATTACAATTACACGTAAGTGACAGTGCAAAGAACATAAAGCCTTTTGTGGTTTGGCACCTAATTTATTTAGGTAGAGAGCTAAGATAGTCGTAAGTTAATGTTAATGAATGGCACTTACGACTATCTTAGCGCTAAGTTAGCTTCGAAAATCTAGGCCAAGGTGTCTTTGATTCCCTCTTTCACATTGTTATCCAACACAGCCACTCAAGTATATACAACATCTGCCCTGAAATGTAGCCCAAAAGGCACAAAGGAATCTGGCTCAGACCTTCAGCTCAGCAATCACAGTATCGCAAACTGGACTTATTATTTATATGACGTATAGTGTTTATAATGATTATCCCCTGTCCAATCTCAGCCTCTTTCAACAGCTCAACTTTTCTCTGATGACCTGACTGCTTTGATAACCTTTCTAACACTATCTCGATTTTGATTTCAGCTAAGATAACATACTGCAGAATAAAGGCTTCAAATGTTAATAAGTGTTTTAAGGAGGATAACCAAAATGAATATTAGATGTTTCATTTTGGATATGTTGAACTAACTTCATTTTCATCATAACTAGACAGAAACATGTATAACTTAACCTTCAGTCACGCTATCAATAGGACCATTTTCACTCAACATTACTTTCATATACTGTTAGAACATCATACTACTTCTTGTCAGAAGTAAGCTCTGTTGGACTCTGAGACCTTGTTTAGAGTGATGTAAATCAATTTCACCAGAAGCATACGTTCAACAATTAAACTGACCTGGCATAAAATCAACTTCTCTAACAAAGTACAGAATAATATGCACTGTATAATTCAGTTCAAATGGTGAAGTTCAGTGTCGAAAATCAACATGTCATATTCACACACATGGTACATATTTACAATTGTTGAATCGAAGAATTGCCCAATTCAGAGTGCTTAGAAATTATCAATTTCAGTCAAACAGATCATTTCTAAATGAGACAACTTGGAAAAAAAAATTGTGTTAAAAAAAAAGAAAAGAAAACTTTGAAAAAGGGTGTTACTCTGCAGTTAACCATTTCACCATCTCTTCTGCAACTGTCAAATTCCATCTAAGGGAGATAACTCTGTGAAGCTGCCTGAGCCAGGTCCCTATCATCCACCAGCCTCCTTCCTTCCATCCATCAATGCCCAACCAGTGCTGTAAGCCACAAGTAACACACCAACCCATGTCCAACCCACGCGATCAATTTGTGACAAACAGCTGGAATTTTTTCCACATTTCTTTTTTTTCTGTCATTGATATACTGAAAGCTAACATAAGGCTGCAAAGTAATAAATAAAAGGAACTCGAACCTGGAACCATTTAGCATGTCGAAGTGCAGCTAGGGCATCCAGGCATTTGTGCCTGTCCAGCACATCCGGTGGGTCTTTGACGCTTAGAGTCTCTATAACACAATGTTGTAGATTTCAGGGTAGCCTCTCGGAACGGGTGTTTGACCATGGATGGGGAGCCCGGGCGGAATGGCAACAGAAGGAGAAGAATTGTCGGAGAAAGAAAAGCATGTGCTAAGCTGATGAAAGACTATGTTCTAAGAGAAAGCAAAAAGAACTAAATCCAAAATTGGAAAATGCAAAAAAAAATCAAAATAACTGTTCGCATTTTGCTTCTTTGTACAAGTCTATTTTGAACTTTAAGGAACTAAAAACAAATCCAATATTTGTTAATGTTTCAAAAACACAAATAAGTTTTGAACCAAAAAAAAAAAAAAAAGAATATGAAAAATTTGCAAGAAGTCTAAAGAAAGAGCTGAATATGTAATGCTAAAGATGATGTAAAAGTTGGGAAATAAAAGAGGTGTGCAAGAATGGCCAGTTTCCAATGGCCCCCTCATCATGGTCAAAAATCCTTCCATCGCTCCTTTTCCATTTCCTCTCTCAACCTGTGGGTATCTAGAAGCTTTGTTTGCATCACCATGGCAACAAACAAACTGTATTAATGTCAAATCAAATCAGAACATCCAATGGCACGTAACAAAATAATATATCATTAACAGGAAAGTTATTTTATTGTTAATTTCTTCAAAGTCTCCTTAAGAAGATCTTGTCTTGCATCAAATGCCATTATTCAGATTTCTATTTGATTTGAATTTTGTTTTTGTTCTTGTAGAATGATCATGTTTGAAAATTGAAATTTAACAATTCAAGGTTGTTAGTTGACTTTTAAATAATTGGTTACATGACCAGTCTACAACTTTAGTCTCCATAAACTCTTCTTCAAATCAAGTTGAGAAAGTAACACCAAATATCAATTTGAACCTTCTGATTCCATCATGCCCCCACCACCCTGCCCCAACCCCTAAGGAAGAGAAGTATGGACGTTTTACCTCCACCCTCTGTCGCCGTACTCTCCCTCATCACAGGCGACGTCAGTGTCACTGTGCATGTTGTAGGAGGTTCCTTGGTGTTGCTAACAATGATGGCAGCTTCTTCAACACATCTCTTCACTTCAAATTTCTCATCGGTTACAGTCTAAATAAACAAAAAGCAGTGTTCGGACATTTCAAAATGAACCCAATTTTATACCCATCCAAATCTGAGTTTCCAGAGTCATATATAAAGTGAGTGAGTTTAGTTTTATATCACGGCAAGGGGGCAGCAGAATTGGGCTTCACACATTGTATCCATGTGGGGAATCGAACTCTGGTCTTCAGCATAAGCGAACACTTTAACCACTAGGCTACAGACTTTAAATTCTTTCACACAGCTATCGAAATATAGAATGCAGCGTTCCTTTTCCTTTTGAGCAACATATATCCAATCGATGACAACAGTGACACAAGGGACTAACTTCTCAATGGTATTTCATAGTTTCGCTCAAATGACCAAATGAAGTGACCAGAGTCAGCAGCAAACATTCACTAAGAAAGGTTTGCTTCTTTTCAATAAATCAAATACTACTTAGATTTGAAATGAACCTACAGCTAACTGTTTGGGTAGTCCGTCAGCCACTCTTTCCAGCAGTGTTCGGGTGGGTTTCTCAGAACACAGTACGACTAGATGGACATTGAGATCTCCGTGGAGCAACAGCCCCTTGGCAAGAACCCCGACACGCATCACCCCCTTCAGAACCCGTGGGGAGGTGTCATCATCCTTCTTTTTCTCGCTGCAAGGAAAATATACAATCCTCAAAATGGCAGAGAGAAACAGTTTGATTAGTTCTGTACATTTATTGACTAACACCGCCATTAGCAAAATTTCAGGTAAACAGCAAACTTGAACATCAAGCCTAGATGAGGGAACCTAGAGACTGATATTGATACAGCGGAAGCTGTCAAAACCGGCAGCTGTCCAATCCGGCAAGTTGTCAACACCAACATAAAATCTCAGTCCCATCTGTGGCTAGTACATTTATCATCATTTAAAAGCTGTGCAATCCAGCTGCTGTCAATTCCGGATGAGTCGCCCGAATGTGTTTATACAGTAATCAGCGCTGTCTAATCCGGAACGTGGCCAGTAGTCAGTCCAATGTGTATAATTAATCCTACGTTGAAACTACATGTTTGCTGAGAAAGATAATTTAATCTTAGTTCAGTATGGGTACACTTGTACATGTAATTTGTGATTTGAGGGAGTAAATTGAGAGAACCACGTTATACAACAATGTATGTGAGAGTGATAAAACTGGTTCAGTTCTAGTCGTAGGTAACCCTGCCAGCTCTACAATCCGGCACGCTGTCGAAACTGGATTATGTCTGGATTTTTTCAGTGACTGGGAACCTGTTGTAGTGAGTGAATGAGTTGGGTCAATCAATCATCAAGTCTGACCACCTAGTCTTGTAAGTCGTATCTTACAAGCATGGGTTGAACGTCAATTCTAGTGGAAATCTTCAAGGTTTCCATGTTGACATTTACCCTTCTTTAGCTTCAGTATCCTTCTTCACTTCCTTCTTTTCCTTCTTCTCTGCTTCCACATCCTTTGGCGCATCACTGCAACACAGACTAGGTTTCATATACCTCACGATCTTCCTTCAGTATTTGAATTCTATTAAATGTTAAACGCTCGCAGCAGCAGTATACTATCAGCAGTGTTTCAGCTATATGACAGTTGTTTGTAAACATTCAAATCTACAAAATCCAGTGATTGATATTATGAGTGAGTGAGTGAGCGAGTTTTTAGCATTACGCCACTTTTAGCAATATTCTAGCATTATCACGGCAGGGGACACCAGAAATGGACTTTATACATTGTACCCATGTGAGGAATCGATCCCGGGTCTTCGGCCTGCCGAGTAAACACTTTAACCACTAGGCTACCCCACCACCTCGATTGATATTATCAGACATATTCCACGTCTTGGTATGATAACACAGGCAGCCAAGTCACCAAGTCTGACCACCTGCTACTCTTCGTGCATCTGACAACCAGGACAGGTTGCTGGGGAAACTATTCTAAGAAAACATTTTCATATATTTACCTGTCTGCAAGGAAGTCTGAGACCTGCTTCAGAGCTCTTTCACAAGATGACACGATTAGCTGTACAGCCTGAAGCTGGAACAAGATTACAAAAAAATATCATGCATTTCTCACATATCACGCATACATGGCAGGTAGCATGGTCAGAAAAACATATTTTCCTCACAAATAATTTACAAAGTAAATTTCCACCTAATGAAACAGACATTACCTTTATGGTCGTCAAGAAAATTTCAATTTTCACAAAGGAAATCTTTAAATGGATACAAATGGTGCGGATAGCTTGAAAGAGGGTTTAATATTCTAGCACATGCATGTGTGAGTGATTGAGCTACAGCAGTTTTGGAGTGCAAGCCCACTGAGAGTTTTAACTTGAACACCTTACTTGGATAAAGTATACTTACTCCAAGCCAACCATTCCCTGTCTTATCTTAATGCCAAGAACATTGTAGGGTAAGAAAATACTGTCTTTCTGGTATTATGTACTAAACTCTCAACCTTCCGCTAGTAGGACAAACTCTCTATCCCTCAAAACAGCTTTTTCTAACACTTCTAAACAATTGAACACCATGCAAAACCATCACACTAAAAGTCAGTTTTGTATATCTTCAAAATGCCAACTTCACAAGTTTAATGTACACTACTAGTCCCTGGTCTTGCTCTAACCATCACTATGGCAACATAATCCTACCTCCGCTTCTGTTGGGTATATGGCAGTATGTTTGGACATCACATGGCGATCATCAGCTGTATCTGGCTTCCTCATATGCTGCAACATAAACCAGTCATTACAAAATGACAGAATGTGTTAAACTTATCTCTCAATTATCTTTAAAACCTTCTTTTTTTTGGTCTGTTTTGTGTTTGAATGCCACACAGCAATATCGCAGCTATGTCAGATAGCTGTAAATAGACAAGTCTGGACCAGAAAATCCAGTGATTAACATTACAATTCCCAAGTTTCAAATTATCAAGGAAGACATCATCTCAAAAAGAGAGCAGAAGCACTCTTTTCCAATAATGATGGAAGATGTAGCACTCATATGCAGCACTCATATGCAGCACTTAGAAGCATGGTTCCACATACAAGGGAGTCCCTCCTAAATACCTCAAAACAGATTATGATAATTTAACACTCTTGTATGTGCTCCACTTATCAAAATTTCACAAAAGTGATCAGTGTACAATTTTCAAGCTGAAAAGATTCATCACAACATACACAATCTTTCATTAGTCACAAATAGGAACTGCAATGATTTTGACTGAAATGGAAAGATAATGACATTTGAAAGCACATAAAATATCACAAGGGGTAAATTTGAAAAAACTTCTTAACCAGCACCCGGAAATGCCATGGTGCTTTTTGGCTTTCTTCACACTGACCACTTTGAAAAAGACACCACTAGAATTCTGCACAATACTGAGAAATCCACTTTACAAAGCCTTTAACAGCTGACAATAAAGACTGCTAACAAATTCTGTATCTCACCATTGGTCCAGGCCCTCCCATGAATGGGCGTGGTGGCATCATCCCAGGGGGTCCCTGATGCCGTTGCCATTCATAATACTCCATCATCTCGTAGCGGCGCGATGCTCCCAGTACATCTCCTCTTCCATCCTAGGTAAAAATAAATGCACAAATTTCATAAATGTCTAAATTCTAACAAAGGGTCATTAGTTGGCTCATTGTTTTACAAGGCTGTCATTAAAATATTAGACATAACAGATCTATGTTTCAGCTTATTGTTTACCTCATCTCCTCCCGCCACCGTTCCTCCTGTTCTCGGCGTCGCCAAAACTCCTCCTTCTGGGCCTGCCTCCTCAGTTTCTCCTCCTGAACTTTGCGGGCTCGAATACTGGGCTTCACCTCCACCTGCAGGTTGGGGTCAACCTTTTTCTGTAAAACAAACAACATACTTCTTCAGCTAAAAAACTTCAATGAATTCATCTTTAGGCAATCAGTCACTAAAAGTAATCCTTGATGTAGAAATGTTGTTTCATGGTAACAATTTATGAATTAAATGTTCATGCTTTACTCATACATGTTTATAAAACAGATAGAAGATTAATAAATAACTGTCACAGAAACATTTACATTTCTTAATATGACCACAGTTAAACATGGACAAGAAATTCAGTTGTAACCATTAATGGTTTAATCATCCTATTTAGCATTAAATTCATTAACTGCAGTAATAAACAAGTTCACTGTTAACTAAACACTTGAAGAATGAATTTATTATTAATCAACATATTGATATATTGGGTTGACTTTTATCAATACTAAAATTACCCAATCAATGACACCCCTACACCCAGTGTTCACGAATAGCGTCTGACCCTCTGACAAATCCGGCAGATTCGCCAACGGTCAGACAGAAGTCTACAACCCGCCGGCCCCAGTGTCTGACTGTATATTTCACAATGACTTAGACTGAAGTTGTTTTATGTGACATGTGACACTTGTTTGCTGTTTATAAATCTTATGTTTGTTAATAATTTCAATGTCAATTATAAGAAAGATTAAATCTGAAATGTGTGTTTAATTTTATTCCATGGGTCCTGTGCATTTTCAATGGGTCAGACAGACATCTGAAACTTACAAGACACAATGTCCTGTGACTTTGAAACACCATTCGTGAACACTGTACACCGTGCACATGCACCATAGTTTGAACCTACAGTGAACAAGACTGAGGAGCCTAGCTCACAGAAGGCCCTCTTTGAGATCAAAATAGGCTATTTTAACACTAAAAGTAGTAGCTACATATAGACTATTCAAGGAAGTCAAACACAAGATTCTTTTAATATGACTATAGTTAATGTCAGGGCCATGACCGGTTATCTAGTGTCATATGAAAAAGTTGGGCATTTCTTACTTCTTTTGACTGGTGTTTGACAAAAAACTTACTATCACCGTAAACTTTATGAAATAAGCCTACCTTATACTGTAGTCGATGTCTTCTACCCTTTAGATGCATCTCCTTGGCATTGGGGTCATTGAACTTGCACTCACAGAGCTTGCAGTTGAAACTGATGACTTTACCTTGGTCATTCTTCATTTCCTCAATGTATTCATGACCTGCACGAGTTGTGGGAATATTAGGGTTAACAACATCCAGTTTTAGTATAATGAGGTAGAAAAGCCCACATTACTCAGGTCAAATAAGCAAGTGTTAAATGTAGGTATGGTGTTGACAAACATGTAATTTTTTTATTAAAATTGATATTTTATACTTATCCTGACTCATGCTTAAGTGCTTGTCTATTTCTTCTTGCAAATGATAGTGGAACACTTGAATCCCCTTTTGAAGCTCCCTTCAAAACCGCGGACGTAAAATCACTCACCCAGTGTTATCTCCCTTGTGACTCTTTTTGGCGGGAAAACACATCACATGATCGGACATGCCCCTCACTCTCTCCTGAAAAAGCGCCCGACACCTGGATTACAGGGAATCCAGAGTGCCATGAGGGGAGACTGGGATGGCTTACCTCATGAGTCAGGATTAGTATAAAATATCAATTTTAATCAAAGATTACATATTTTTCCTTATCCTGACTCATGCTTAATTGCTTGTAGAATCCAACGGAAACGGTGGTGGGTCAAGCCACTCTGGATTCCATGCTGATTTACGTCCTGCATACTCCCCTGATGGAACTTCTTATAGTACTATGCTGATTCTTCCTTCCAGCTTCCTCGAGTTTGGGGGGGACCACAACTTGTCAGATTTTCCGGAACCGCTTCTCCTGACAGTAAAAGTGGATTTATACGACTCCATGATTTGATTTCTGCATCAATGGAGAAGTGACCCTTCTTCATATATGAGTAAGTCCTTACAAGTATAGGGTCTGTCACTCATGTTAGCCTATCTTAGACGTGCGCACAGACTCTCAGCTCCAACTCTCCCGACGGTCGGCTTTTAAAGGTCACATAAACCCTAGGGGGTACAAATACATAAATCACTAACTGGCATCGTTATAAATGAAACCCGTCATTAAAACTACTCATTTCGACCTTTAATTGACTTAAATCGACCTTTTTGACAACAGTGCACAATTCTCACCCATGAGAGCGAAATTTCAACCAATCAGGCGGCGCGCCTCTGTGGCGTCATATGAGGAATAGCTTTGAGAGCCGATGCAGAATTCATCTACATTTTAGGGGTAAATTATCGTGTTTACAGGCTTGTATAAACCTGAAATCGTGACAATTGTTGTGGAAAATGAAAGCTATATGTTCTCACAATCTACTGTCATTTAATTTTGTCTCCTGCTTTGCCTAGTTTCGAGTTACAACTTGTTTTCATAGGCGATTCTGTCAAAATCGATTGGTGTCGTTAGGCCCTATTTGTATAATGACTGATCCAAATTGATCCCATTTCTGTGTTGTTTTACCTCGATATTTAATCATGTCATGTAAAAAAATCTGTTTGTATTCTCAAAACAATTAGTGTCGGCCCATAAGTTTTCACATGCAATACAGCAATTAATACTCCCTCGTTGTAACCCGTGTTAGGTGGTATAAACCTACACATGTTATTTGTCATCATTCACTTGATGGTCAGTTAATGAATTTATAACAGGTATAATTAGTGGTAACACACTTAGATTACCGACAAAGGTTCCCATTTGGCATTTCTTGTGTCTGGAGTAAATATTCAACATTATAAACATCGATCAAAGGATTAACCGATAACAGCTGATTGATTAATTACTTTTATCTTACACAGCGGAATTGTCAAAAGGTAGTGTTTATGTATGTAGATTTACTAATCTATACTGAATACACTCTGTCGTGTAATGGGTGTCTGCGTAAAACAACGTCCTTCTTTCAAAGGATTAACCGGCAATACATTGATTGATTGCCCATTATTGGCTAACTAAATTACTGTTTTTAAAGAAAGGCGGACATTATGCAATTAGTTGCCAGGTGTGCTATCTTGGGTGACCAATGAGACTATACACCAATACCTGAAAAGATTTATCACTTTTAAGTATATTAAACTGTTAAAAGACACATCATTTGGAACAGTTTTGTGGATATTGATGGATACATTCCTCGAACAAGGTAATGGCCTGATATTGTTCCTATAACTTTAATCTGTTTTAATTTTAATATTTGCATTTTGTTTTATTCATTTGTCGTAGCATTCAACAGAATCATTGTTTTCGCCGTGAAGTGTAATGAGACAGACAACATGCACTAGGGTGTGTGTCGCGAATTATGATTCACATTGGCAAACTATAAAATGTCTAGATATTACAGTTCTGTTATAAATTCACTATAAGTATCAGCAGATCGTCTGCTTTTTATTTAGTTTCAAAATGCATACAAGTGTGATAATAAACTAATTAGGATTATAAGACCAAATATAAAGGCAGCACATTGACTAGTATCTACATACTGGTGAGTGGACATTAACCATGGGAATGTAGCAAAGAAATTTATCGGCGCAGTATTGTGACTTGACCCCCACCTGGCTTCCGTGGAAGAAATCGTTATGTTATAAGTTGTGTCATGCAAAATCCGTTTGGTTATGATTCCAATACATATTTAACAACGAGTAGAAAGTAGTCTTGATTTTCTAACTTGATGAAAACAAACTATAATCTCATTAATTCTAACAGATTTTTTATTTTTTTAAAATGGCGCCCTGTCGGGAACATCCGCCAGTCTGAGGATAAATGGTATTTAGGTTTGTTTTCACGAGTTACAAAATCAAAACTACTTTCTACTGGTAGTAAAATATGTATTTTATTGATAGCCAATAGGATTTTGCATGACATATAGCGTATATCATAACAATTTCTCTCGTGGCAGCGAGGTGGAGTGTCAATATAATACTACTTACAATATTATTGTTACTTGACCACAACCTCACTTCGAGGAAGAAATCGTTATGTTACAAGTTGTGTCATAGAAAATCTTTATGGTCATCAATCATATGCATATTTTACTACAACTAGTAAGTAGTTTTGATTCTTTAACTTCCGTGAAGCGATCTGAACACAAGTAAGATATCGTTTCAGGCTTCCAAGCAACTTCGCTTCGCACTCACAAACATAACCCATTTAGCACGAACTGCGGGGTCCTGTGGAAATCTGTGCATGGGGACACCATCGCCCGACCCTAGGAGCAATTGGCGACAAAGCAGCGATTAGGCATGTAAAATTAGTTGATGTCGAAAATCATCAAAATGATGGCGTGCTACACATTTTCTATACAACTAACTGAAAATCGTTCCTCATATGGCGTCACTGCAGTGCTCTGGCGACAGAGTTCGTAACCTGTCTGTGGTTTTAGTTGGCGGTGAGAGGGAAGCGAAGGCGACTTTTGGCCACTTTTAATAAATTTGGTATTAATTAACCACAAGTTTTTAAAGAATAAATTTGGTGTTCGCGCATAAGACTAACCACAAATCTTTCATATGTAATGGTTAAAGAGTAACAAAAACAAAGTTTAGTGGTTCTTTAAGATATTCCGCCACTTGTGGATGTGTTGCTTCCATTGCCGTGAAGCCCTTCCTTAAAGCGTATTTCTCAAAACTCTGCCACTTGTCGTCATACAAGCTGCGAATTGATCTATGTAGAGCTAATGTGACTGCGTTCAATGCTCTGGCGGAATATCCTCTTTTCTTCAAGCAAGTTTTAATACGTTCCATGCGTGTAGTTGGAATACTGTTGGATTGCCGTGTACTTGCTTGGTGTGCAGATGAATTAAGTTCGGCCACTCTGGAAGTTGTAGGGTTGGATTTCTGAGTTCTTGTATGAGGATGGGAAACCACACCCTCGCTAGCCAGTAGGGCGCGACCAAAATCAGTTGCAGGTTCTTCGTCTGCTTGATTTTCCGCAATACCTGCGGTATTAGAGCTTGAGGTGGAAACGCGTATGCGTTTAGTCCTTCCCAGGAGATGCTTAGAGCATATGTTGCCAATGCTTGTGGATCCGGAACCGGAGAGAGACGAATGTTGGTATTTGTTTGTTGAACCTTGTAGCAAACAGGTCTATCAGTGGAGATCCTATCGTCTGTATGATGCATCTGAATGCTTCTGGGTGTAACATCCATTCCGTCGGGGATGGTTGTGTTGGATGAGATAGGGCGTCTGCTATCACATTCTTGGCTCCGGGAATGTGACATGCTTTCACGTCGATGTTCAAATGTCTATTATGCTGAACAGATGGAAGCTGAGATCTAGTAGATTCCTTGTTCTTGTTGATCCTTGTTTGTTGACGTAGAACGCCACTGTGGAGTTGTCCGTGTGGATCATCAGTTGTGCATTCCTTAGTATGCTGGACCAGTGTAGTAAGGCATTTATGACTGCTTTCATCTCGAGCATGTTGATGTGTAGACTTTGCTCCTGATTCGACCATTTCCCTGCTGCCACTTCGCTGTCGAGGTGGGCTCCCCATCCTTGAAGTGATGCATCTACGTAGAAATGAGTGTTGTACTCCGGCTCTGAAAAGTAGGTTCCTCCGCAAACATTCGACTTCCGAGTCCACCATAGGAGATATGGTTTCAGTCCGTCCGGTAGTCCGAAAAGAGTCCGGACTGTCTAGATGAGCGTTCACGAACACTTGTAGTGGGCGCAGTTGTAGTCTTCCTGTACGTGTCATGACTTGTGCTGTCGTGAGGAGACCGAGTAGGCTCTGCCAACATTGTAGTGGTAACGGAGAGAGTAGTGCTTGAGATATCATTTGTTCTATCTTGACCCAACGCTCCTCTGGGACGACTATGCGATTCTGCGATGTGATGAATCGTATTCCTAGGAATTGCAGATGCTGTGTGGGTTCTAGTTCCGATTTGAGGAGATTTACTAGCCATTCTAGTTGTGTGAGTAGCCTGATTGTGAAGTTTAGTTGCAGTCTGAGTTGACTGGAATCTTGATGAGCTTGAATCCTGTCATCCAGGTGAAACGCACTGCCTAGACGTCGATGATGTAGATAAGCGATGAATGGCTTTGTCACTCGAGTAAACAACCAAGGGGCCGACGATATTTCAAATGGTACCACCTTCCATTGGAAGATGACGTCCGTAAAGAGGTATCGTAGGTATTTCCTTGAGTCCGGATGTATCAGGATGTGAAGATACGCATCCTGTAGATCTATGCTGGCGAGGTGGTCTAATGGACGTATGAGTTGTCGCAGTTGAGGCAGATGTATCATTCTGAACTTTGCGGGGCTGCGTAGATAATCTTGGTTGAATTTCCTCATGTTGTATATAAGTCGGAACTTTTCCCTGGAATTTTTCTTTGGTACTAAGAAGATTGGGGAGTCAAAAACAGGCGTGACGAACTCCTGTTTTATTTCTTCGATCACCTCCTTCTCGAGTAGAGTTATGATAGCGTGTGGGCCAGAGAGTTGCTTGTCAATGGTGGTACTGCTTGTAGTTGTATCTTGTATCCTCTGCGTAGGATCTGGGATACGTAGTCGTCCTGAAGAATTCCCCAATTCTTCCAGTAGCGTTGTAGACGTCCACCCACTGTTGAAGGTTGTATGGGAACGGCTGGGGGTGGGACGACTCCAGTCGTTCTGAACCCGTCCTTCAGCGTCTGAAGTTCCTGGCACCTCTGGATGCCCTGCCTCTTCTGGGGTTACCTCTGGGAGCTCGGGTTGGGCAACGAAAAGAATCCTTGCCTCCTCTGGAACTGCCGTATTTCTTTTCCCTGGCTCTTTGTATTCCTGTAAACTTCGACTTGCCGGAGTAGGGTTGCAAGGTCTGACGGATAACACTGGCTAGTGTGTCGATGGACTTGATCATCATTACCTCCCTTGACTCTTTCGTTACTTCCTTGGCCACGTCCTCAATTTCCCCTGCGAAGATAGATGGTGCTGACCACGGAGCTCTGTATAGTGACTTGATGAAGCGTTCACTCCACGTACAGGAAGATAGCAATCCTTGTCTTCTTAATAGTGTCAGTCCTGCTGATGTAGATGCCAGATGTTCAGACATGAACTGATGATCTTTCTTCTGAGTTAGTAATGCCGAGTAGATCATTCTATCTTCTTCCGGGGTCGAGTTCCTAAACTTCGCGATGAGGGTTTCATTGATGGCTCTTGACCTGGCTAGACCAAAGAAGGTACGTCTGGTAGTTGTGTCTAGTTGTGCCAACTTCTTATCTTCCACTTTGTAAGTCCTGGCTCGGGAGTCATTGATGATCTTGTAGTTCTCATCTATCTCTGGGGCCTTCGTGAAGGGTTCCATGCGGTGAAGAGAGAACTTCTTAGCGTTGAATGGTGGGATGCTCTGACTCTGGAAATTCATTGCCTTCTGGAGGCTGTGCTGAGGTTTCCTGGTACATCTGCGACAGGATCGACGGGTGGAAGAGTAAGTGTATCGAAGTCCTCGTTAGACATCCTGTACGTAAACCCTTCATTATCCTCTTTAGAAGGTGATGCGAGTTCTAGTCCATTTGCCATCCAAGATTTAATTTCTTTATCGGAAAATATGATTCCCCCATCATCTTCGGATTTAGAGGTTTCTAGTTTTGGAGATGGTTGCCATTCTGTCTCTTTCCTGCGTGGAGATCTGCGCGGAGACCTTCGCGAAGGCGACGAATTCGGAAAAGAATCATCCTTGGAGTCTTGAAATGTATCTGTGCTTTAGCGAAGGTGTAGATTCTCTTCTACGGTGCTTCCACGAATGCTCCTAATGGCTGTCCATATCAGAGAAGGATGATCTGCGATGCTCCGGTGAACGTCTGGTTCTGTTCCTTCGCGAATGTGTCCTAGTACGTTGTAGAGTGTGCGATCCTTCGCGCATGCTTACTCCTTCGCGCATGCTTCCACCTTCACGCATGCTTACTCCTTCGCGCATGCTTCCACCTTCACGCATGCTTCCTCCTTCGCGCATGCTTCCACCTTTGCGCATGCTTCCTCCTTCGCGCATGTTTCCTCCTTCACGCATGCTTCCTCCTTCGCGCATGCTTCCACCTTCGCGCAGGCTTCCTCCTCCGCGCATGCTTCCACCTCCACGCATACTTCCACCTTCACGCGATGCTTCCACCTTCGCGCAGGCTTCCTCCTCCACACATGCTTCCACCTTCGCGCATGCTTCCTCCTTAGCGCAGGCTGCTGTCATCGGTGGGATGGGATGTGATCTGCAGGCTGCTTGACCTTCGCACATGTTCTACGAAAACATATGTCAACAACGTGAACAAATACAGATAATTTTGACAAAATTTCAAACCATATTGTTGGTATATCAATCCTAAAACCGTATACAGCTAATTTAGTAGCAAAAGCCTAAAAATTAAAGGATATAACGCCATATAGGGGACCCAGGCTCTCTCACAACCGTCCTCAAGGGCGAAGAAGGAGAGAGTGAGGGGCATGTCCGATCATGTGACGTGTTTTCCCGCCATAAAGAGTCACAAGGGAGATAACACTGGGTGAGTGATTTTACGTCTGCTTTTTTGAAGGGAGCTTCAAAAGGGTTTCAAGTGTTCCACTATCATTCGCAAGAAGAAAGAGACAAGCAATTAAGCATGAGTCAGGATAAGGAAAAATTAAGAGTCAAATCTTTTTTGTATATTCCTCTCAAGCACAGAGTCAGTTAATTGTGGCACCCAAAGGACATTACCCTCTTCAGTTTAATGCATCAGTCATTAATACTCACCAACTGGAGCTACATCTTTCTCTCCAAGAATGTTCAACTTGTCCCCATCAGCATCCAGCTCTGAAATCACCAAAATATAATTACACATCAATATTTGGCAAAACAGATACATCACACAAGCTCTGGCAATGCAACCACAAACTAATTATCAAAAGTTGTTTAACTCTTTCAACACCAGTCAACCAGAGGCATTTACTGCCATGACACCGAGTTCCCAGAGACTCTAAGGTCATAGATGAAGCCTATGTTTATGAAGTAAATTATAAGTTTGTAAAACGTTATTACTACTACATCTCATACACCATTTGAAAGATCTAATCCCACTGTTGATAAATATGAAGTTTATTTTTATAATATAATTCAAATAATACAACTACGACTTAAATAAATTTATTTTTTAATGAAAATGCAAGCTTACATTTATAATGTCCAGATAAACCACGAAAGAAGCAAAAACTATGACGATTTTTTTCCATTTGTGACATGTCATAACATGCCCGTGCCTTTTTCTTTGATATTTTCATTTTTACGTAATCAGAAAGTTATTATAAAAAGATTTCTTAAATAATATGTATGGCCGCCTATTTCCAGCTATCAATGGCTTTCCGCTCGGTAACATGACACAATATTAAGCAAGAAATCGCTACATATACGTAAATTACGGGACTTATTGGACGTATCATGCTAGGTTATGACCTGAGATAAAAATGCTTCATGCATATATTTTCGCATTAAACATCGTCTCCGAGCGTGAAGATTGAGACGGTGAGAGCCGAGATGTCACTTGTCAGTGACTTGACTTACATTACATGATCGCACAAAAAGATGGAAATAGTAATTTTATATGTACGTTTGACAACTTTTATGAATGCTGTTGTCGATTTTATTCATTAGTTTATTCAATTTATGTAATGATTTCCTCGAATCATCGTTACTTTGCTCTTTGACAATGTTATTGTTATACTGTCGAAGCATGTGTCCGAGAATGTTTGTTTTCAATAACATTGCGAAAAATAGTTTATAATTTTAATTCTGCCTATAATATATGATCAATTGAAATTTAATAAGAGTTTTCAAACATTGTGAAATGTGATAGATTTAGTATAAGAATCATAAGTCTGGTAGGTTCCTAAAATTATGTCTCATTTTGACGTGACTTCTGCCTGGCTGATTAATCGGCCTCTGGTGTCTGGGGACTCATAACGTTGTGGCCGATTATTCGGCCTGCGGTGTTGAATGGGTTAATTGACTTCAGTTTTAGAGTTCAATACAGAAGCCCTTAAGATTCTGAATATAACATTTCTCAAAGGAACCATGCCAAATACATTACACTAAAACCCAACTAAAAGTTTCTAAATTGGGCTATGTGAAACTTATCAGCATAAGGAACTATCAATAAACCAACTTGATCTTTTCACAACAATGAACACCATGAAGATAATACAGAACAGACTGACAGTAGATGTCCTGTGAAGTATTAGGATCTCTGTCGAGTTACTGATCTGGGTTACAATTGGTCTTAAGCAACCCCATGCTTGTCGTAATAGATGACTAACCGGATTGGTTGGTCAGACTCACTGACTTAGTTGACATATGTCATTGTATCCCAATTGCATAGATCGATGCCTATGCTGTTGATCACCGAATTGTCTGGCCCAGACTCGATTATTTACAGACCGCTGCCATATTGCTGGAATATTGCTGTGTGTGGTGTTAAAGAACAAGCATTGTCACCAAGGTGACATAGTCCCCCACCGCAAATTATCAAATCAAACTTAAAAGTAATGAAAGTTTAAGATGAGGTTAAATGTCAACAAAAACATGACCAGTCAACCTCTCTTGATAGCTTCTCTTTAGTTGTTCAAACACACAAATATTTTCAAGTCTGACTTTGACCTTGACACGAATGTCATAGTGTATGAAATATGCAAAAATGGTACTAAAGAAATTGCTTATTGAAAAACATTCAAGGGAAGTCTTGAAAGTCTATGAAGAAAATCCAGTGAATTGAGGTTAACATGCTGAAATCTTCAAAGTGTCGCAGTGACCTTGAAAATTGTGTGAAGGTCACCAAAATTGACTGGGCCCTGCACCTTTATTAAATGAAGCTTGGTGTCAAATATGAAAAAAATCCAGTGAACTTTTTTGGCGATATCTTGCTGACTATCTTAACATGCAATTTAACATGCTGAAATCTTCAAAGTGTCTTTGCGGCCTTGAAAATTAAGTGAAGGTCACAAAAATTGACTGGGCCCTGCACCTTCCCTAAATAAAGCTTGGTGTTGAATATGAAGAAAATCCAGTGAACGGTTCTTAAGATAGCATAACATTTTAGTTAACATGCTGAAATCTTCAAAGTGTCGCCATGATCTTGAAAATTATGTGAAGGTCACCAAACTCAACTGGGCCCAGCACCTTCCCTAGATAAAGCTTGGTGTTGAATATGAAGAAAATTCTTGAGATATATCGCTGACAAGAGTAAAACGTTAAAGTCCCCTTGTGACCTTGAAATGATGGTCAAGGTCACCAAACCTGACTGGAACCTTGCTTATACGGTGATGAACCTTGGTACTAAATATGAAAAGAATCTAGTCAACGGATCTTTAAGATATTCTATTTCGTATGGACGGACGGAGCCTAATACTATATCCCCCGCTTAGCACTAAATGCACTGTGGGGGATAACAAACAAACTAATAAAGACTGACTATTATTCATCATAAGACAATAAGTCTGCCATATTCCTGCAAGATTCCAACAATATCTTAGCAGCATGAAAAGACTCGAGCGTGGGCAAACCAGCAACTGAGAGCGAACAATGGTGGCATACTGTTTTACAAGCACAGTTGATACTGGGGAGTTCTTCTGCTAACCATGCTAACAAAGTATATACAGTGAGCTCACCATCAGAATCTGCTACAGAGGATGAGGCTTGTATCTGGTCCACCTTAATGCTTTCCACCTTCACCTCCTCTGCCTTAACGCCTGTTGTCTTCAGCTGTGTGCCTCCTAAAATATCAGTAGTTGGTCATGTATCCCACATCTAAATAAATGCGGAACTGGACAAGTAGGTCAAAATTTATTTTCTCATCTCACATCTGCTTCTTCCCTTGTGTAAATTTATATTTCAAGGTTGAATGTACCATGTTAAAGACCCCACCACATACACAATTTTATGGATAGACAGTGTCAGCCCTTATGAGACAGAAACACTTAGTTCTCCAAGCTGATGCGGCCATGCAGCATGGATAATGACACAAACCTACATACCATCAGGGAGAATCTTCAGTTCAAGACGTTCTTCAAACTTGGGGTCTAATTATAAATATTTGTTGTGATTTCCAACATGACGGTATCCCCTCATCTGGTGGAAACAGACATCACAAACTCACCAACAAACGTAATTTTGGGCGCTGCCAGCACTATCTTGGCTGGTTGCTGTGCTGCTGCTGCCGCAGCTACTGTCTTCCCAACGATGGCCTTGCCCCCTGCGGACGTGACAGTAGCGGCACTGCCAGTGGACTTGGCTGTCGTAGTGGTGGCTGGGGAGTTGGACACTATCACAGGATCAGTTGAAGGAATGGGCTTGCCAAGCTTTGTGTGAAGCTTCAGCACCTGGGGGCCACATGAAGCAGGCATGTAGAAGTTACTGTCGCTGATAACACTTCCTTGTATTTTAACTATGAACCATTCATCTAAATCATCCACTGAACCACTCTTCCGTGTATTGTTTTGTCACTACTGAAGATATGAAACTGCCACAAAATCAAGTAGCTCATTGACTTGTATAAAAATTGTCAACAGAATATTCAAGACCATTTGTACTATGAACATGGAAAGAATCTTGTGGACATTTAGAATGACAATCTATGACAAAAGAAACAGGTCAATTTGAAACATAAGGGCAAAAATAGTTCAATGTTCAAAATGTTAAAAGGGATCTAAAGTTTCATCCTTCAAGGGACACCTTCAATCTCTAACTTTAACATTAAGTTAAAACAGGGACACAGACTTTCAGACTTCATTTCAAACACTGCATATACTACTCAGCTCAATAATTACATCCACCTCCATAGTTGACCAAAATCTGAAATCCCTTGCTGAGTAAAAATGCAGTAAACAATACCCTACCTTTTGATGCTTTGCTCCTCTGATGTGGGCTGCATATGCGTCAGTTCCTGTGCAGGTAACGTCACATAGCTCACACCTCAGCTGGTTGTGTCCTCGTGCCGCTGGGGCCGCTCCTCCCTTCATGGCCTGCTCCTTCTTCTTGTGCTTCTGACCCTCTAGATGTTCCCGGTATGTCTGATAACACAACACTACTTGCTAGAGGCACAACACAGATTGCAGCACGGATGAAGGACAACTTTACAAAGGTAAATGTTTATCTGATCATGTTTTTTGTTATGTGATCGAAATGCAAAGCTCAGAACATGTGTCCGAAAGCATGTAATGACAACAAATATTTATTGAGTTGTTTTATCATTGTTTTTCAAACTGTTTCAACTGTGTCGATTCATTAAATTCTGCTTTACTTTTGTATGGTTTTGATTCAAGAATGTGTACAAACATGTATCAAAAGGTAGTCCTTCTTGTATCAAACATATCGCAATACTCAATATCTGGCCCTGTATCTACACCCATTGTTCACTGTGGCTTGTAGATAGACAAATCTGGGTCATACAAACAGGTGTTTAAAAGGTCTGTATCAATGGGCAAATGATTCCAATCAGTAACACAAACTCAGCTCTTGTAACAAACATGAAACACTGAAGGTCTGTTCTGAATAACATTATGTTGGAAAATATACATATGGCTGGTGAAAGATTTCAAACCAGATTGATGAACACCTCCAACTTCAGAAGAAGTTAGTATGGTTTTATGCCACTTTCAACAATACTCCATTTAGGGAGGGACACCATAAATGGGATTCACACACTGTAACTATCTGGGGAATATCGAACTCAGGTCTTCGGCATCGAAAGCAAATGCTTTAACACTAGACTACACCACTATCCGCCAAAGTTTCAAAAGGACAGAACCTCCTCTGTACTAAATAACTCATTGTTCCAATTACTTCACTCATCTTTCATACATCAATGATATTACACATGACCATAGAATTTCAGACCTAACTTATATTGGCAGAAGGAACACATAACTCATCAAATCATAGGAGCATAATCAGAAATGCTTTGTAACTTTGAACACATTCACAAGGTCTGTGTTTAATGTTTCCCATCAGAGAATCACAACACTTCAACAGTAAAGCAACAGGCAGACCATGCAGCCAAGTTCACTTGTACCACTGGTTGAGCTGCGCTTAAAAAGAGAGATGTTTCAAAACAACACCATGTACTTGCTAAAACAAACCATCCATAAAACAAGTGTGAAATGTCAATCAAAAAAGTGTCCACATCAAAAGCAAAATGAGCAGCATGTCACAAGATCTTTCAAATCAAAACAACATATTCTAAATAGATCAGAAATTCAACATCAATTAAAGAGCATATATTTCAAAACTATTAAGCACACATAAGCCGCCTGACCCGAGGATTGTGGATCTGCTACTACCTGAGGGCCAGCACAGCTGATCTTGCAGACATCACAGTAGTGAAGCTGAGGTTGTTTGGGCGGCCCCTTGGGCCGGGGTTTGAATGGCACACCAGGTTTCTTGACCGCCCAGGTCCCAGCTGTCTTCACTGCTTGCTGCTGCTGGTAGTATGAGGTGGCCGCTGTGTACAGAGCAGCATCATAGCCTGCAGTCAATATCACCATAACTCAACAAATACTTAAGCCTCTACGCCAAAACAAGGTCAGCTACCACACAGGGTGCTACAAACTATCTTACAATGGAAATAAAACAAGGTATTATCAACATATCGCCATTTGACCGTAATATTATTAAATTTACAAACACAAAATGTGTCTGAGAATTATTGACAAACATAGTATTGGATCCAGAGCTTGTCTGTTCGATTCCCTATTTACTATTTGATAAATATCTAAACAAAACATGTTTGCCTGTGTCAAGCATACCAGTTTCGTATTTATTAGTCTAATTCCTTCTATGTTCTAGCTTACTATGACCAATTAACAGGTTCAATCATACACATTTCTACACTAACAAAATACAGTTCTCAACCATTTTGACCACCAGTAACAAATCATATTCTAATATCATAAAATGTGTCAATCATATTTCATCAAATGTGTTCCTGACAGTGTTTACTGCTGAGCTGAACTATGCTTAACCAAACTTATTGTCACAGGCCCCTACATACACTTAGCCAGGTAAAATACTGTATTCTAACACATGAACACATGTGAATGAAATGATACTGTGAAAGCACATTATGTCAAACATTACTTGATCTTTCCATCAATTCAAGACAAAGAAAACAACATGGTATGGAATTATCATTTACTTTAGGATATTGTATTTGTCAAACCAGACAAGTACTTTGCTCAAAACACTTGCCTGGAGAGATACTGTACTTGTTCCAAGTTTGTGCACTGCTGTTACCATTAATCCCTGAAAACAAAAATTGCCAAAGGATTAAATCACAGCATGGGTAGTGTCACATTTCGACAGAAGTTGCCTTCCCTCTTAATACAGTCAACATTAAACATCCAAAACTGAAAAGACAAAAAGCAAATGGATATAAGGTCAAAACACTGACTGACTGAGTTTGGTTTTACGCCGCTTTTAGCAATATTCCAGCAATATCACGGCAGGGGACACCAGAAATGGGCTTCACTCATTGTACCCATGTGGGGATTCGAACCCGGGTCTTCAGCATGACGAGCCAACGCTTTAACCACTAGACTACCCCACCCCAAGGTCAAAACAAGAAGACAAAGTCATCAATATCACCCGCAATGACAAAATACTCTTCATGAATATGTCTATATGAGTTACTATGTCAAATGTTTTGGAGAGTACTGAAAGGTTTCAAAGTTCTGCTCCAGAAAGGAGCACTACCACCAAATTCAGTTGAAGCCAAAATTGTTGCCATGGAAACTAAAAAAAATAATCATTTTATTCAGAAATCCAAAACTACCAATAGGCACCAGTTCACCACTAGAGCTACCTATGTATGAAATTTCGTGATGAAACAGTGAAACAGTGAACAGTATTTAAGTTATACTCCGGAAAAGAGCACTACCACCAATTTCAGTCAAAGTCAAACTTGTTGCCATGGAAACGCAAGAACTATTTTATTCAGAAACCCAAAATCCCCAAAAGGCACCAGTGGACCACCAGATCTTTCTATGTGTCAAATTTGCTATAGAAACGAAACATTGAACAGTTTTAGAGTTCTGCTCCGGAAAAGAATACTACAACCAATTCAGGCTAAGTCAAACTTGTTGCCATGGAAACGCAAAAAAAAAATCATTTTATTCAGAAATCCAAAACTACCAAAAGGCACCAGTTCACCACTACACCTACCTATGTATGAAATTTGGTGATGAAACAGTGAACAGTTTTTAAGTTCTGCTCCGGAAAAGAGCACTACCACCAATTTCAGTCAAAGTCAATCTTGTTGCCATGGAAACGCAAAAAATATTTTATTCAGAAATACAAAATCCCCAAAAGGCACCAGTAGACCACCAGATCTTTCTATGTGCCAAGTTTGCTGAAGAAACATTGAACAGTTTTAGAGTTATGCTCCGGAAAAGACAAATGTGCACGGACGCACGGACAGAGTGCATTTTAATACCCCTCGCAAAACGCTTTGCAGAAGATAATGAGACATGTTTGGCTAAACTGATGACATAATATGAATAGAAATTGTTAACTGATGATTATGACACATGGTTTTGAAGATATTTACATATGTACCTATTTGAAAATGAGGATAAACATACCTGAAAACGAGGACTGTGTTGTGGTTGGCGCATAGCTTGCCTGGGAGTATGTTGTCACCGCAGGCGATGTTGTGGCTGGGTACACATATGCTGTTGTCGTCACCTGTACTGCAGGCTGTGCCTTGGGTTGGGCAAGTTGTCTTTGAGCTGTGTTGTAGGAGGAACTCGTACTGTAGGCCGGTTTGGCTTTGGAGGGAACGACTCTTGTGTGTTATTGTTTATTACTGATGAAAACTTTACTGATTGACTAACACACAACACTGAACATGGAACTGAACGGCATGCGGTAGAAGTGTAACAAAACAGACGACTTTCAGTAACACATGGCCCACAATCAAAACACTTGACACAAGACAACCTCAGGCTCTTTCAGTATTTCATCAAATGCATCACTTTTGTCTTCTGTGTCAAAAAGTCTAAAAATATTAATTGCAGTTTTATTTCCAGGATTTGTTTTATTTGAATGTATCAAACATGAAAAAGCCAAGTTACAAGTGAACCATTCTGCAAGGTGATGGTGGGTGGAGGCAACTCTGATTTTGCAGCCCTGATTTGTTAGATATGAATTTGATTTTTCAATTTAAAGTTGAAGTACTCATTTAAACAAACAGGAGACCATTTTCTCATTTTGAACAATTGAGAAGTTTCCACAAGAAATCAGCTATAAACTATAAGTACCTAGTCTGTCATAATATTTCAAAACCTTTAACCAAACCACAATTTAACTATCTTGCAGCTATTTTGGACAGTCTTCTGTCACAAGACTGCTCTGAAAATGTTAACTGTATCTACATGTTCTACAACAAACTTCTCGCACTACAAGACTTTCTTCAAGGAATTTCTTATTTTTCCTAACATGTCACTCCAAACTATAAAAGCCAAACATGAAAACTATTCCCCAACAAAGCTACATAACAGGACCCAAACTGTCACTGGCAATGTAATCGACTACAGGAAGGTGTGCAGAGACTTGCAGCCTGAAGATACTGATTGCCACTGTATTGTTACACAGCTACACGAGGAATCACTTATCACTATCAGACATAATATGGCACAATACCTGCTTGATAGTGTGTTTCCGCTGCTGTGTATGCAGTAGCTTTCGCTGGTTGGTAGTAAGCTTTGGTTTGATCATACGTCACTGCAGGCTACAACAAATTGTTCAAACATAACATTTATCTACTGATTTCTTCAAGCTCTTGTCTGATGTTGCTGGAGTGTGTGACAATATCCTATTGTGAGGGGAATATTCTTCAACACTATGTATCTCAATATTCCAGTCTATCCTGGTGTGCTGCAAGGCCAAGTCTAGACCCATAATGAATAATACATCGAGGCATGGCCTTCCCAAAATAGCTGGAATATTCATGACTAACAAAACAATATTCACAAAACACATTTCAATACAAATCATCTACAAGTGTTTGAACTTAAACATAAAAGCCACAAGAATCATTGTTATGAGCTAAATAATAACCCCAAGCTACAACCACCATGATAACACAATCGAGATCAAGGTTCAAATGCTTTGCTGCTCATGACAGGCGCATTTGCCAACTTTTCTCAATCTCTCTAACCATGTGCTGTTTAATGTTGTTTTATCTCTTACAATAAGTAATTATAGATTAACATGATTAAGGAAACACTACTATAACAAAGAATGACATAATTACCTTTATTTCTAACACATTGTCAGCACCATCCTGAAACCTTTTAATTTTATTTTATTTTTTTTATTTTAGTGTGTGTGTGTGTGTGAGAGAGAGAGAGAATGACACACTCAGCAATATTAATATTCCCGCTATATGGTGGCTGTCTGTAAATAACTGGGTCTGGACCTGCCAATCAGTAGTGATAGCATGAGCATCGATCTATGCAATTAGTATACGATGACGATGTCAACCAAGTGGCTTGGCCTGACCACCCGATCCCGTTAGTCGCATCTTATGCCAAGCATGGGTTGCTGAAACCTATTCCAACAAAATATTAAAACATGATGAAGTTTGGTCAACTTACCGTGACTGCCACTTGTGTGCGTGTTGTGTAGGCATACTGAGGTGCTGCATGAGCTGCTTGGTAGCTCTCGTAGGCCTGTGCAGCTCGGGGAGCTGCAGTTGCGTAGGCAGCCTGTGGTGCTGCTGCTACATATGCAGTTTGAGCTGTGGGGTAAGCAGTGGCCGGCTGGGCTGCATTAGCTACTGGGTAGACAAAATGAGCCATCCTCCTTCTGAAATATAATAAGGAAACATGAATATACACTACATAGTATCTTGTTTTAGTTTAACAAAATCTCTAAAAATACCACACTACCATGGTTTGACATACACCAATATCAATTACCTACTAAAGCCACGGCTATCAATACATCATACACTTCACACGATAAGGTAAATAACACAGGCCAAAGGCATATTGTATGCTAAGATATGATTATGCCTTCAATATGTTCTTTATGTTTAGTATTACTTTTTTATATGATGTAGCAAGGAAACCATGAACTGAAGGCCTAGAACCATTTATATGCATCTGGTATATCAATGAGTGATCGGAAAGAAAGTCACAGGAAAAAAGGTCACGGATAAAAAGTCACAATAACTGTTTTGTTATCTGTTTAATTATGATCATTAATCGCAGGATCAATCACAGAATCAATCATAAATCGCAGGATCAAAGTTGGATCAACAGAGGATCAATCATGGATCACAGTTACTAATCACAGTTTCTCACAGAGGAAGTGTTTGCACAATGTTATTCTAATATAGGTGATGACATTTTTACTTTATCAAAGCAGTTTATTAAACCGTCTAAATTTATTCATAGCTTTCATCTTACGGAAAGGTGTGTCTGAGAGTTGTATCCTTATTGCCTTAGGCTAATATTTATGTAGAAACATCCTTTAACTATGTAGTTGTAACTTATACCTTTTTGAATAGTATGTCTGTGAAATGAATGTTTATTACTTTAAACTAGCATCTTTCATGTCAGAAACAGAAGCTGTTATAACAATTGATACATTTTACAACCCACTAGTATATATTATATTACTAGTATATATATTATATAATTATTGTATTGTGACCTTTTTCATGCGACTTTCTTTCCTACATTCTATCAATGTTGAATTATGGTACAATGTATTTTAATCTAGTGAATTTGGAGGAACCCCTTTAATTCTTAACTATAACAAGGACATGCCTAATTTTACATTCTCGAAACCCTGCATCATGACCTTTTCTTGCCCAGGTCCAAGCAAGTATTATAAGACAGACTGTATTCATTGTTATTGAATTTTGTGTAGTGACTTCATATTTTCGCAGTGTGAGGGAACTTTAGACATATCAACACGATCACTGAAATTAACAAGTGGTTACCCTTCAAATTTTTCAATTAACTGGTTAAAAGAATAAGTTATGAAATCTATGAGGAAACATTTACAATCGTTTGTGTATTAGATGGATACAAACAAGGCTTATTAAGTTGCATGATTTTAAGTACACAGAAAGATGGCTTAAGTTAGCATAAAATGATTATCAGTTGCTTTTTCACACAACGATACCTTCGAAAATGAGAAGTGTCATAACCATTTCCGAATACACATGTCAACATGATCGAAAAACAATTTTCTTCAAATGGGCAAGCATTCAAATCTCCAGCCACATAATCAATCGTTTCCAAACCACGAGATCATTTGTTATTAACCGAGGTCAAGTGAACTTACTTAGAGTTACTGTACTAATCAGGCATTGTACATGATCTGAAGTATGATGCAGTATATTTCCGCAGAAAATCAGGGCAACGACCTTTGTTGAAAATAGGTTTGTAACATTACCAATCAACACTAGTCTAGCCTGCAATAACAACAAAGCACGCACTGAGTCACGTGACTTGCCATTTTATCCGGCGTGCATCCGCCATTTTCCTTGGCAGCGTGTTTACGAATTTCCATCAAAACGTACCCTACTTGCTTGCACGACGATTTGCAATATTCATCTCAGACTAATAACTCTCACTTTACAAAGAGAAACTACTAGGAAACACGACAGAGGTGGGCAAAGCACATGTTACTCGGGTTTCATAATGCATGCTGATCGTCTCTATGTTTATTCTCAGTCACGGCTACTACATATTGTAGTAAATCGAAAAGATGCATAGCATTAAAATAGTGTATAAACTACACTAAAACAATACGCACCGCTGGGGATTGTTGAAATCCTTTGTTTATCAGTGTTAATATCCGTCGAGTTTCTTCCGCACACGTTTCAACAAAAATGTTAGAGAGCTGGAGCCGTGTGCAAAGGTCACGTGATGTAGTTACGTACTCGCTTCCTTGCTAGGCTACTAATAACATGTCCAATGGCGACTCCTTCACCGCTGTATGGAGATCGTAAATACTCACCGCCAACCTGGAACAAAAACTGGTATTTGTTTTATATTTATAAATGTGATGTCAGAAGCAATCAACGATTTGACCCAAATATATAATTGCATTTTAACAACAATTTCACCAGAAATGTACACATGGTAAAATACAGATGTGTCAATCCCGATATTCTCCTGAATGTTAAATGTTGGCCACCAACAAGGTCATCGTCTGCATCTGCGAAGCATTTATCAATATTTAATGCCAAAGACTTGAGATTCTCAAATTACACCGTGGTGTCAGTTGATCAGTTTCACCTTGTACTAGGTGGGTCAAATTCTTTCCCTATTGCGCCAGAAAGTTTAAAATGTCAATCCAAACTGAATACTGTAAATTTTGTCATTTGTATCAGATAATAAACTCTGTCAAAAAAGAAACGCAACCCCTGTATTTTAGAGATTTTGATCTGAAGTTTTAGGACGACACGGCATTTTTATTATTTAAGACAGAAGTCTGAAATTTGGCAGAATAATAACCCAGATGGGCATGTTTAAAATTGTCATTTCAAAAGTCATCGCACAGACACCAGTTTGTCACCAGGGGGGCGTCTTTCTCAGTATCTCGTATGAGCACCACGCGCTGCAATCACTGCACGGCATCTCCTTGGACAAGAACGGATAAGACGCCGGATTCTTTCCTGGGGAATGGCTCTCCACTCCTCCTGCAGTGCAACGGCGAGCTGTTGCAGCGTCTGTGGCGGCGGCTGACGTTGACGTACGCGTCGATCCAGAGTATCCCACAGGTGTTCAATAGGGTTGAGGTCTGGTGATTTAGAGGGTCATGGCAAGACATTGACGTTGGAATTCTGCAGAAAGTTCATTGTTGCACGTGCAGTATGAGGCCGGGCGTTGTCCGTTGAAAAATCTGTGTCTGTTGGTCAATAATCGGGAGAAGGTGAAGCTCTAACACGTGGTTGATGTAACGTTGGGCTGTCAGGTTCCCTGGAACGATCACCAAGTCTGATTTCTGGTTGTATGAGATGGTTCCCCAAACCATGACGCTTTCTCCGCCAAATCTGTCCACCTGTCGGACGCAGATGGGCGCAAAACGTTTATGACGTCTCCTATACAGACGCTGTCTTCCGTCGTGACGTTGCAAAAGAAAACGTGATTCATCAGAAACCCAGATTCGCCTCCAGTTTTGTAAAGTCCGTATCCTTACGTTGTTGCACCACCTGAGTCGTCGGCGTCGATGTAGGGGGCGTAGTACAGGTCCAACAACTGGGCTACAGGCACGTAAACCCGCTTCTTTCAGACGGTTCCTAATCGTTTGAGCTGACACTCTCCTCAAACCTGGTATTTGTGTGGCAGTCACGGTTGGTAGGGCATGCCGATTACGCAGGTGATGGACCCGGATGTACCGATCTTGAAGGGGGGTCGTGATTCTTGGCCTTCCACTTCTCGGGCGATCGTTGGTCAAATTGAAGTTGTTGTAGCGGCTCCAAAGTCGGGATATCGTTGTTTTGTGAACATTTAGGTGCCGTGCAACAGTTCCAAAACTTTCTCCGGCTTGAACACGACCAATGGCGATATTTCGGTCGGCAGCACTCAATCGTGGCATTTTTAACACAGCTTTTCGGCGACAAATGAATGAATATAATACGGAACCACATGGGCTTTTATACACCCTACATTAACTGCCATTTTCATGATTTGCATGTGTTTTTTTTGTGCGAAGTCACCATGAGGGTCATTTCATGCGTTGTGACGGAATAAGCAATAAAATACACTTATGCGTACAAATGCAGTTGTTTGGATGGTAATCTTCATTAATTACGTGTATCATTTCAATACATTCGAATAAAATTTAGTTTGGAAGCAATAACTTCATTCAAACGAATTTTTCATATCTGAGGACAGGGGTTGCGTTTCTTTTTTGACAGAGTTTAGTTGTGAAAAACATCGGTAGATATTAGAGGGGTAAGAAGGACACATTCTAAATGCGATTGTACCGAGATCAGAGACCGTTCATAATTTATGGCGGGAGAGGGATGATGATGATGATGAATCTTATGGAGAAGCATGTACAATGTGAATGATGTATGTGAGCTGATGAACAAAATATGCGAGTGAATGTTGTTTTCCGCTATACTCGTCAATATCCCAGCCAATATTACAATGAAGACTGTTTACGATTTTGTGCCAAATGCACCCATGCAGTGTTGATCGAAATCCAGCACTGTCTCGGTATAACAACACAAGTAATAAAGATCCAAATTTGACCACCGCGTACGCACCCCAATGTGGAAATGGGAACATCACTATACGTTCTTGCATATAACCTCGACTTTATAAACAAGGATGCTCAAATGATTTGTGCTCCTAACATAAAAGCAATCAATTTATAATTTTATGCTTTTCGTTTGGCGTTAAGACACACCCGAAATAATGGAAAATCCCCTCGCACACGCGTGTGTGATAGGGTTGGGGGTTTGGGTCGGGCAGTGTATTTTTTCAGCTACAACCAGATATGTTTTTTTCTGAGCCAACATATGTTTGACAATAACAAACAAGAAACCCACCAAACCATGTAACAACGTGTTTTCGTGGCAGAAATTCTGGGGGTTTATTTGTTCTCCAGACAGAAGCAGAATTTTTTTTGTTCAAGCATTTTTTTTTACAATTGATTCTTTTAGCTATAATCCCAGTTTCCACCAACAAATAGCACCAATCCACTCACTCGCCTTTTGTCCAATTTGCAAGTTGCCTCTGTTGATCTGTATATGTGTGTTTACCTTCGTTCAGTTTCTTTGTTGTTTAACTCATTATTCTACAAAGCCGAGGAAGGGCCGCATAAACCAGTGATTATATGGTAAACATCCCATACCGCCGGGATATGATGGGACCAGTCAACAAGTCACCGCATCTGACCACCAAGCGCATGCAGGTGAGTGAGTGAGTATGGTTTTACGCCGCTTTTGGCAATATTTCCACAATATCACGGAGGGGGACACCGGAAATGGGCTTCACACTTTGTAACTATACATGTGGGGAGTCGATCCCACAAGCGCAGGTAGCTCCTGGAATCCTGTTCTAACTCTGAATCTCACACAGGGCATGTCTTTACCTATATACACGGGACCGTTGAAGGTTATTTGAAGCTGATATACCGTTGGCAATACAACGTTAATTACACTTCATTCATCCCACACAGAAGCTCGGTACTAGAGGACGCGTATTCCCCAAATCTCACTGCACCGTGGTCGCTGAATACTCACCCCCGATCAGGCATTATGGTGTGGATAGAGATAACTTTAGCAAAATTGGAAGTTAGTGACAGGTAATCCCTTTGCTTGTTTGTCGATTTTCGGCAAATTATCGCGCCCGCACAACAAAAATCTAGCAATTCAGCTGGGGCGGTGGGGTATCCTAATGTTCAAAGCCTTCGCTCGTCACACCGAAGACCCGGGTTCGAATCGCCAAATGGGTACAATGTGTGAAGCCCATTTCTCGAGTCCCCCGCCGTGACATTGCTAGAATATTGCCCAGGAATATTGCTAAAAGCGACGTAAAACCATACTCATTCACTAGAAATTCAGCTATCGCTTAAGGTCTGATTCGAAAGATGATGGCTTGCCTTGTCCAGCCGGACCTTCTGGTAATACGGCTGTTCGAAGTCCCCCATCTGCTCGTTCTCGCTCTGCTGCTGATAAACCTGACATTTTCATGTGTTCCTTTAACAGGTAAACCGCTACCAATCTGTGTTTTATACTGTTGGCGCATCAATGTGCTTTTCACGGTGCGACTTGTACAGTAACAACTTGTAGCATGTGCGATTCAACCAAATCACGATTGTCATGATATTCCATTCACAGCGATGTAAAGGTTATTGTGTGGTGTTTTGGGAACATGTCACACTGTGACTTGTAAGACAAAATCAAAATACCTTTCTTAATATTTATTTTGCGACATAACATGGAATCTCGCGGCTTGTTTTAAAGTTATCCAGCACTACTCGTACTCTGCATCCTGTTCCAAGTTTTTAGGTCGCAAGAGATGCGGTAAGCTCTAAGAAACCAATCATACAGGATGGTTGAGTGAGTGAATGAGTTTAGTTTTACGCCGCTTTTAGCAATATTCCGGCAATATCACGGCGGGGGACACCAGAAATGGGCTTCACACATTGTACCCATGTGGGGAATCGATGAGCGAACGACGTTTTAACCACTAGGCTAATCCACCGTCATACAGGATGGTTGAACATCAAATCAGTCATATCAACTGGGTGTCAGTGTAATGCGAAAACCCGAAGTAAAGTAGGTCACACTCGTCATCAATTGTTTACCACTTTGGAGAAGTCTATGAATCGTTACTGACATGCAAAGAATCATAATCAGAACGAATCTGGAAATCGAACACACGATCGTAGCATCCTGTCAGACAAAGGGACGTAACTCTACATTATGCCACTACACAATTAACAAAAAATGAATTCCATGTGACAAGTTTATTCTTCTGTATATGTACATCTCCGCAAGTACACAAGCTTGCTAGTTTTGTCTTGCTACAACACTAATCTGAAATGTGAATAATAAAATAAAGTATATAATACACTCCACAGCGTAAAGTAACTTCTATTAAAGTTAGTAGCAAATACACCACGTCAGGTAACATGAAGTCAATCCCCCGCCGGAATATAGCTTGAATATTGCTGAGTGCGGCGTTAAATAACAAACAAATGTTGTCTTTCTCATGAAGAACGTTTTTTTTCTCAGGACGTTCCCAGAAGTATGCTTGAATTCTCATCAGACAGATTGGTTTAATGATATGATCTGTGACAGTTACATTCACCTTCCAAGTCATTGCTTCTGAAGTAAATGTGTATGGATGCAATCTATTCGCCTACGACATCCCATCCTTCATTCCTACAACATAACATTCTTCATGAGGTATGGAAAATGTCGACACACCACACTACTCGCAAGCCAATCTCCATTTTATCATTATAAAATTATCTACCGTCTCACGTCACAAAATATTATACTGAAGCGTTGTCCCAGGACAGGGGAAACCATCTCTGTACTTTGTCAGTTCAGACATTCATATTGGAAACAGCATTCCACCCGGTATCATTGGAGGAATCCTTATGACGTTCCTATCAATGAAAATTTGCAGAAGAGTGCTGATACTGCCTGTGACCCTCTTGACAACTATGCACTGTCTTCACGAATGAGTGAGTTTGGTTTTACGCCGCTTTTAGCAGTATTCCAGCAATATCACGGCAGGGGACACCAGGAATGGGCTTCACACATTGTACCCATGTGGGGAATCGAACCCGGGTCTTCGGTGTGACGAGCGAACGCTTTAACCACTGGGCTACCCCACCGCCCGTATACACGAATGATTATCACATCCAAATGATAATCTTATTACAAATGTAAAACGTATATGTCTATTGATGAATTCGCACATTTTGTTTTCACAACAGCAGTGGAGGGTACTGGCTCTTTAAAACTTGGGCTGTTAATCTCGACCAATTTAGTTTTACAATCCCCTGATAAATATTTCCGGCGTTAGAGCCCCGCCCAATTACATAATACCGTGTCGGGGTAAACACATGCATACAACACAGTCGAGATGTGTTGGTAATGGATATATCAACAGTTTCAACATGACTGGCACGGTGGTCAGTATCGGTTATAACGCAGCAAGCATTATTCCTGTAATCATGGTAATGAACACGTGGTCAGACATTCCGGACATACCGAGATTTGTTAAAGGTCATATTGCGCTCGTTACATGCCCGGAACTTGAAACCCAAACTTTACAATTCTAGTCTTCTATAAAACCGTTCCACAAACAGTTTGTGAGGATGTATGTGTATTGCAGTTTTAAAAAGTGATCCCTAAATACATCTGTTTATACTCAAAATGCACAACGTAAATATTATGACCGGAAACTGGTATTTAGTTTCTGTGAATAAATGTGCGAAGCCATTATCGCGACATATGTATAAGCTGGCTATCGCAGGACGATGTATGCAGCTAAAAGAATGAAATGAAAGAACCATCTTCTACCCATGTGCAGATGGTATTCGACGGCAAAAACCAACAAAGGCGGATCCAGGAATTTCCGCTCCGCCAATGCAAACGTGACATTAACTTCAATGTGGTCTTTAGTCATTTGCAAATGGGGGGTGAATCTCACACTCCTCCTCTTTCTCTCCCCAAAAAAAAATAATAATAATAAATAAATAAAAAATTAATAAAATAAATAAATAAAAAACACGTGACACACTTGGATCCGCCAATGACCAACACGCTATCTACTTAACCCAGCCTGATTCCTTGCCCAGGAAACCGGTCTGGTGTGGCGCAAGCGTAGCCTAGCCAGGAAACCAGGCTGGTGAAGCACAATCACAGAGTACCCATTATGCCAGACTAGAAGTGGATTTTATGCCGTCTTCAGAAACATTCATCTGTAACATTCATTCATAAAACGGCGTATAAAAAATTCTACCCATCTTGGGCATCGAATCCGGGTCTTGGCCGTGACGAGCCAACGCTTTAACCACTACGCAGGCCCACAACTACATCACATCATGGGCCTACAAGTCGCATGCTCTATCAGGGTCATCACATTTAATGTGATCAAAAAACGTTTATCATATGGACACCAACAACGTAGACCCGAGAGACACGTCGCCCCCTTGTGAAAACTCTACTAAAGTCCTCTACCAATATGAACTCAACAGCTGTTGTATCTATGTGTATTTGTTGACTATCATTAATAACGACAACGGAATAGGTTATAGAACTTGTCAAGCCACTAATAAACTGAATACACGTAAAGCGCCGTGACTCATCCTAAAATTACGCAGATCACATTAATATGGCGTATACCAAACGAGAAAGCACGCCGTGTGGTAATGAACATATGGCCTTTGGGATCTATACATGACGATTATCGTTGCTTTTTATCTCGGCGATAAGGTACAATGCTTGAATATCTGCAGGCAAATTAAGATGATGTTTATAGCGATAAACAACATTAACAGTCATTACAGCAAGATTGCAGTTAACGCCCAGCTGTACACAGCGACCTGTGTCAGACTGACTGACTGACTGAGTTTGGTTTTACGCCGCTTTTAGCAATATTCCAGCAACATCACGGCGGGGGACATCAGAAATGGGCTTCACACATTGTGCCCATGTGGGGATTCGAACCCGGGTCTTCGGCGTGACGAGCCAATGCTTTAACCACTAGGCTACCTCACCGCCCCCTATTTCAGAGTGGAAAGCACGATACGATATGACTATGCAGAGACATAGTCGTGAAGAACTCTCATCGAGGACAGTTACTATTTCCACGTTAAGTACTGGTAATATCCTCAAATCTGTACGGCCCTTCATGTAAAAGGAGCTTGTGAATATTGTTTTACTCCGCATTAATTTGTATTCCAGCTGCAGCAGTTGGCCATAAGTGAGTCACCATTAGTGAAATTTCCATAGACTTACATGTTCATTAACTGTTGCAAGAATAATTTTCATAAATTGAGTAAAAGTCATTTTATTTGGATATATTGCAAACATCTTGGAAATCATCTTCAGCTATACGTGTACATAATTTTCTTTCATCTTTCCGTTGATTTGTTATCGAATGGCACCTGATTAAGCACCATCAGTACAACTTAATTTTAATCTATCCTATAGACAGCCATCATGATGTTAAACCTGATTGGTTTGTCTATTAAATGTTGTTTAAATAGTTGCAGTTTTCTTAATAATCATCGGAAAATTGAATGGAAATTATGTGTATGTAGCTGATATGATTTCCCAGCTGGTAGGTACGTATTGAAAGCAATTCGACCGAAACTAAATTTACGAAAATTATGCTTGCAAGAGTTAATTAACATGCAAGTCTATGGGAATGTCACTAATGATGACTCACTTATGGCCAACTACTGTATCTCCCGGCTGGGGGGACGAGAAATGAATTCACACAATGTACCCATGTGGGGAATCGAACCCGGGGCTTCGGCGTGACCAGCGAACGCTTTAAGCACTGGGCTTTAAAACCCAGGGCCATGTAATCACTTTATCGGACGTGGTGCGTACTGACTCATTAAAAACACCCAGTTTGAATGTGCAGGGTAGTCAATGACAACACATAAACACAATGGACAACCAATGTTTCATTTTTCAGAATATAATTTGTTCATTAAACACATACATATACATCTTTAAAGTTTGTTGAAGTAGAATGGCGCTATTTCTTGGCCTTGGATTAGGAGGGAACTATGCTTCCACATTGTCAACACTTAAAATGTCTTCGTAAATATATTCGTTCCTCCTTCACATTAAATACAAACATACTTGTTACGTGTTATAGCGGCAGTAACTGGACAGACATAAAGATACAATATGTGTTGCAGCAAACTAAATTAGAGTTTGTACGACTTCAATCAAATTAGCTGGGTCTTCCATTACTGTCAATGTAGTCCCCCCTTTAATGTCGAGTTTTGGGTACAGAGTTTGATGTTACGCGGTTCACCGCCGTTATACCGGGGTTAGGACAGGTAACCAGAGTGACTGATTGGTATGGTTTCACACCGCTTTTAGCAATATTCCAGCAATATCAATGCGGGGGAGACCACTATGGGCTTCACACATTGTACCCATGTGGGGAGTCGAACCCGGGTCTTCAGCGTGACGAGCGGACGCTTTAACCACTAGGCTACCCCACCGCCCCTCAGGTCACCAGAAACCTCTAGTTGTCGTTTCAGGCGGTAATTCATTGGGTCAGGCTGACTTGGTATTTTTAATGTCAGCATGCCCCAAGTAGGACGTTGTTCATTACTTCGCTCACTCGTTCGTCTGACCCACAGTTTATACAGGTCGTTGTGAAATATCTAGAATATTCCTGACTGCGCACCTGATCAATAAACACACACATAATTAATGACTACACGAATCATCCCCTACAGCTGCACCGAAGGCTTAAAGCTCATAAAAGCGTATGTGGTACTACATCGATCGATTAATTAGGGCGTTAACATATAACGATAAGGATAATTCACTTGGTTGTTTCTGTAAGAGAACAGCACAAAGTCGATGGTGACGATGTAGATGAAACATTATTTGTTCTACACTATAAAACGTTTCTTGGCGTATGACTACAGACGGGAGTATGATCAGAATGAGACAGTCACCCAGTACATGTAGGCAGTCAACACTTGCATGACTGAGGGAGATATATCCACATGGACGACACATGCACAACTTTATAACATATGAACATAATGAATTATATAATATAACATAATCTCTATGACACATTTTTACAATGAAATATGATTCATGTAATATCGTCTCCATGTAAACGTGTATATTATTATCGTCTAATGTATCTAGTAGTCATTGAGTATTGTTTGACGCCGCCTTTATCAATATTCCCGCAATATCACGGCGGGTGACGCCAAAAATGAGTTTCACAAATTGTACCCATGTGGGGAATCGAACCCGGGTCTTTGGCGTGACGAGCGGACGCTGTAACCACCACCCATCAAGTAGTCAAATGAGGAAGTCAATCAGTATTTTTTGTTTTTTTTAACTCAGTTAGTTCGTAAATAAGTCCAACGTGTGGTAATGATTTAGGCACCGTAATGAGTTATCCTCTTTCGTGTAGCGTGCTACCGTTCTGACATTGTGTAATATATTGGTACTCCCTTGCAACAGAAAGTATGTGGCATTAGATATCTTGGGTTTCTGACTGAATAAAACACTTCCAAATGAAAAAACACATGAGCAGAGCGAAGCAGTTTTTGAATTACACTATCCCCTATAAGTCGAGCTTTAACTGCAGTGAATGCTTTGGGCAACTGGTTCATGACGGGTTCCCCAAAGAGATTTTAGTTCTACCATCACCGTAAGTCCACGTTAATGGGTGGGAGTTACGATCACCCTAACGTTAAGATCGCTTTGAGGAACGGGACCAAGGTTACCACCGTCATGCACACGTGTTAAATTTGACGTGTAGTATGGTAGTTCCCATGAAGGAATTGTCACGTGCAGACAAGAACTTAGGCCCCGTTCCACAAAGCTAGCGTAGCTACGACAATGTTAAGCCAGTGTTAAAGCATAGGAGTTTTGTAGAACGGGTCCCTGGGTCTTGTTATTGAGTAGTGAACACAATGACAAGGCAAGCTTGCGATGCCGATTTATGCTACGTTACCCAGTACCCGTCTACAAAGCAAACTTGGTGCTACTACTAACGCTGGTCTCATCCATGTCTGTCATACCATGATACGGAAATAGCAAGTGAAGAAGATTTGGCAAGTCAAGATTTCCTAGTTCCCTCTAATATATCTGAAGGAAAATATAACACTACAGTAACTTCATTTTACACATCTTCACGTCGGAGACGGACTGTTATAAGATTCGCTAAGATCGTGTAGACATGATTTATCAATTAGCTCGGTTAATCCTCGATGAGCATGAGTGTAATTCAACAAATTTAGACACCTATGTGTCATGACACATTTTCACATGACACATTATCAGGCCTCGAAAAGATTGCTAGGATATGATTTCACAGAACATTTCACACTTGGGAGAAACATGGTGCATCCACCCTTTCCCAATATGCATGAGCAAACAGGATCAACAGCACATGTTATCGATAAGACTATTCACACCCATTGTGTGTTCACCGTATGACTTCACTGACCACTGGTGAGACATGACCAAAGCCATCGTTGACAACGTCAGTATAGCCGCCGAAGTCTTCAGGCAGTCAGTCGTGACCCGTCACAGTGTACAAAATCTCGTGACGTCATATTGAACACTGATGAACTATTCACATCTCTGGAAGGCACGTACAGCATGTATGTACATAGACTGGCTGCTGCGTCTAATGACCTAGTCCTTGGGGTATCATCGAAACGAACAAAGAAGCTTCGTCAGTTAAATATCTTAAACAGTTTGTTGAATGTTGTTGGAGTTTTCTTGGCTGTATTCTTTTCCTCCTTGCGATCAGATGACCCCCTGGGCGACTTTGGTCTGCGAGATGAAGCAAAGAACGCCGCCTTGTCCTCCGATATAACGAGTGGCTGCAGCACGTGGCCATATTTTTCCTGGTGAATGTCCTGCAGCACGCGCTGAAACACGCCCTCCACGTGCTCAAACTCCTCGGCTGCTGTCGTCTCGAAGAACGAACAGTCCACTTCTGCTGCCAGGCTTGAGCCTTCCGCCTTGCTGATCTGTCTGAAATACACACAACGTTGGTTTTATTTGAGTGGACAATGTGGGGACTAAAACTCTCTATCATCTATGTGACAGCACAGCAGTTACGACTGACATAACGTCAATGTCTGAATCACACAGTGAACTCGGAAAAAAAGAAAAAAACCCAAACATTTCATAATACATTTGCACTAAAAGCCGAGGCCATCCTTGGGTTCCGACTATATGGTATGTATGTTTGTATGAATAGCAATCGATGGTACTAGATGTTGTAGAAAAACTGTGCGTATCCTGTCCCAAATGGAATAGGTCGAGAGCGACAGGCATGAAAAGATGCAGCGATCTGAACACTCAGACTCGATGCCTGTCACTCAACAGTTGACAATCAGTTTGTTTGATGAGCAGATAGTTTCTTGTCTTTTCTGAGACACAGTTATCTCAGTGCTACTCTCCATAACTTCTTAAGATTCAAGAATTATTAAGTCTCGAGACTATGCAAAGAACCGAAGCAATGAAGGCAAAGAATGACAAGCGTGTCCGCAATGACCTTACAGATGACCTTGCCTTTTGGTATAGTGGCTCAAACATTTTATGAGTTCGTAAATGTGTATGCCTGGAGAGGTAAACATGCCTTAGAAGCCGACGACAAAAATTAAACCTGAACGATGACCTTGACATTTAACTAACTTTGACTAAAGCCTTTCTAAAGCAGGACCTCATCAAATAGAAGGTCAATACACAATTCAGTATAACCTGGGTTTTTATGAGTGTTTTCTATTTCCCCAGAAAATTCCAAGCAGACAGCAAAACGTGTTCGGGGCACAGTCTGGATGTCTTAAATAATGTTCTGATGGAAACATTGTTTAGTTTCTCCCTTAGGAGGGTCTATTGAAGTAGTGATCCCAAAATGTTCGTCTCCAAAAAAGAATCCTCATCATTAATTGAGGTCCCTAATTGAACGTGAGATGGTTCGGAATAACAGGCAGATCCCAGACTGAGTCGTTAGGCATCGACCTGTTGATAGCCAGTAGAGGCCTACCTGTATCTCTCCAGATCAATCTTGTTGCCGACTAGAGCAACCGGACACTCTCTCGACGTGTTCTTCAGATGCTGAGTGACCAGTTCCAGATACTCTCGGGCCTTGTCGAAACTCTGCCTGCTGGTGATACTGTACACCACCAGGAAGCCGTCTGCCCACTTCAGATAGCGCATTGCCTCGCTGTCGTCCTGGTGGGAAAAAGAGATATGGATGAGGCAGGGCGTATGTCATGGTTCAAGGAGTCTGATATCACTGTGGCTCCAACCTAAGGTTTTACTCGTGGAGACTGTTAAAGTAGGAGCACTGTTGGTACTGCGGGGGCACTGGAATGACTAACATAGGCACTAATAACTAGCGGTCTATCAATACAAACTGACAGGATGGTTCCTATGACTAACATATGGACTAGTTGCTGGAGGTCTAGAAGGACTAGACTAGCATGGCAACCAGATGGACTAGTGGTCTATCAATACAACCTGACAGGATGGTTGGTACTGTAGGGACACCCTGATGACTAACATAGGGACTAGATGGACGAGTGGCTAGAGGTCTATCAGTACAACCTGACAGGATGGTTGGTACTGTAGGGACACCTTAATGACTAGCATAGGGACTAGATGGACGAGTGGCTAGAGGTCTATCAGTACAACCTGACAGGATGGTTGGCACTGTAGGGACACCTTAATGACTAGATGGACGAGTGGGTAGAGGTCTATCAGTACAACCTGAGGAGGTCTATCAGTACAACCTGACAGGATGGTTGGCACTGTAGGGTTGGCACTGTACAATGACTAGATGGACGAGTAATGACTAGATGGACGAGTGGGTAGAGGTCTATCAGTACAACCTGACAGGATGGTTGGCACTGTAGGGACTGTAGGGACAACTTAATGACTAGATGGACGAGTGGGTAGAGGTCTATCAGTACAACCTGACAGGATGGTTGGCACTGTAGGGACACCTTAATGACTAGCATAGGGACTAGATGGACGAGTGGCTAGAGGTCTATCAGTACAACCTGACAGGATGGTTGGCACTGTAGGGACACCTTAATGACTAGATGGACGAGTGGCTAGAGGTCTATCAGTACAACCTGACAGGATGGTTGGCACTGTAGGGACACCTTAATGACTAGATGGACGAGTGGCTAGAGGTCTATCAGTACAACCTGACAGGATGGTTGGCACTGTAGGGACACCTTAATGACTAGATGGACGAGTGGCTAGAGGTCTATCAGTACAACCTGACAGGATGGTTGGCACTGTAGGGACACGTTAATGACTAGATGGACGAGTGGGTAGAGGTCTATCAGTACAACCTGACAGGATGGTTGGCACTGTAGGGACACGTTAATGACTAGATGGACGAGTGGCTAGAGGTCTATCAGTACAACCTGACAGGATGGTTGGCACTGTAGGGACACGTTAATGACTAGATGGACGAGTGGCTAGAGGTCTATCAGTACAACCTGACAGGATGGTTGGCACTGTAGGGACACCTTAATGACTAGCATAGGGTTTAGAGGTACTAGTGACTAGAGGTCTATCAATACAAACTGAGGCTATAGCTGGTGCTGAATTTCATGACCAACATTGTGCGCTTGTTGAAGTGTGATGTGAGACGCAGCTTTAGATACAATGTCACTTATGATACGCCGTCAGCTTGATGGGTTATTTGTTTCAATATTGTACTCCGCTACCTTTGTGCATCATGGCCAATGTTGGCCTAAATCCTGGACAAACAGCTGGTACCAAACATAGCTGAGTGAGTGGGCTTTAACGGCTCTGTTCAATATTTTAGTTACATCACGGCCTGGCAGTTTCATGTGGGCAGTTTCAAGCCCGAAGGAATTGAGGTCTTAGACGGTTACCAGTTTGGCCCGCGAAAACAGGAATACTGCTGACAAACTTTACCTATAAGCATAGTTAGGGCGAAGGGGCGGTGGGGTATCCTAGTGGTTAAAGCGTTGGCTCGTCACGCCGAAGACCCGGGTTCGATTCCCCACATGGGCACAATGTGTTAAGCCCATTTCTGGTGTCCCCCGCCGTGATATTGCTGGAATATTGCTAAAAGCGGCGTAAAACTAAACTCAGTCAGTCAGTTAGGGCGAACCCAAGATCATATGGTTTCTAGAACGCCTTGGGGACTGCCTCGCTAACTGCGGCAACATGACGACCAGGCAACCGCCATGCACATCTCACTTGGAACCAGCGTTATTGCTGTGGTCATACTGTCTATCACATGACACGCCGAAGGAACATCAATGAATATCTATTATGTTCATGTCGAAATAAGCATCCAATCAGATATTTCAAGATATAATTTGAATATTTTCTGTCTAGAAGTAACGCTCAATGTATAATCAAAATTGAAAGTGCGAAAAGCAGCCTCCCTGGAAACCGCTCCGCCACCTGATATCATGGCCGAGGTCACGGCGATGTTTAACACACAGTTCAAATCCAAACAACGTCCATTTAGTGTATCAACCAATCTTAACAAAAGCAAAACCATTTGAGCCCAAAGTAAATAACTGAGTACTATTTTATGCCTCTTCAGCCACACCCCAGTCATATAGAGGCTGCATACACCAAGAACGTTTAAAACATTCTTACATCGGTACCAATGCGGGGGGACCGCCTCCGTGATGTAGTGGTTAGAGCGTCTGCCCGGAGAGCGGAAGGTCGCGGGTTCGATCCCAGACCGCGTCGTACCAAAAGACGTTTAAATATGGTATTTGTTGGTCCCTGCCTGGCGTTCGGCATAAATGGACTGGTCGGCTCGTAGTCAGTATAATGTGTCTGAGTGGGGTATTCATGCTTCACTGCGGCATGGTATCTCAGTGGGCTAGCACTATAAAACCAGCTTAAGTCTGGGCTAGTACAGCAGCCGCACCTACACATACACACGCATGCGCATCGTCATATGAGCGAAATATTCTCAAGCACGACGTTAAACCAATTTCACCTCACCTCACCTCACCAATGCGGGGGATCGAACCCGGTATTTCTGCGTGACGGGCTAACGTTTTAACCACCAGGCTATCTTACCACGAAGTAACAACCCGACCTAAAAAGCATGAAAGATTATCTCTTCACTTCACTGTGTCAAATATGTGCCGCAAATGCAAACTATTCCAGCAAGCACAAAACACCTCTCTTGGAGTTGACTTCATTCACGCAGCGGAGCCAAGCATTCTCTGAATGTAGCGTATGATTATGGTGAGTGTCATGACACTTTGCCAGTGTCTATATTCGTCCTGCATATCGGTGTTCGCCCTGGGGAATCCAGGATACAGGTCTGAACTTCTCATATACCCATGAGTAACCACGCATGAAGGCCTCAAAACGATCCAAAATGGCGGGAATCCAAGTATACTGTGTATCTCATCAAGGGCGTCAAGTGAACGCAAACAATTTGTAAATCCTTCTGTAATTAACGAGAACGTCAGTGAAGCTGTTCATACAGAAGACAAAAACGCTACAAGGCTTTTTAGGTCACCTGAATGTTTCTGAAGAGAAAACAAGACTACGTAAAAAAGCAAAAGACGCGTTGGCACACCATAGAGCGACTCTTTCATAGCTATTGCAGACAGCGCTCAGTAATTAGTGCAATGACTATTCCAATATGGCTGCCATGGTGACAGTATTAGCACCATTCAGAGGCATCAGTGGGGTTTGAGTGAGTGAGTGAGTTTGGTTTTACGCCGCTTTTAGCAATAGTCCAGCAATATCACGGCGGGGGACACCAGATGGGGTTTGAAGAAAGTCTACACACTGAGGTGTACGTGAAGCACAGATGGCTCCACAGGGTCAACCATATACAACAATATATATCTTACAATATGTCATATCGCATGGGTAAATATTTACTATGTACCAAGTGTGCGAAATAGCCAATGGCCTGCTAGCCCGTGGCTAGTAAAAATCCTACTGGCTAGTGAATTCTCATGGGGTCATTTGTTTTTATGGTATTTTACCTATTTGTAATCTTTTGCTTAGTTTCTACATTCAAATTTCGGGCTAGTGAATTATTTTGTGGGCTAGTAACTTTGAGGCATAGCTAGCCCGATATGGCTAGCAACATTTGGAAACTATTTCGCACACTGTACGTACCAAATGTCAGGATGGATACAGGAATGGCTGATTCATGGGGAAAATTGAAAAATACAATATGGCTGCCATGGCTGCCATTATTAAAATGGGATTTGAGTTCTTCGCACAAATATACTGGACAAAAATAGTTAGGGATATACATGCATGTAAATTTTGAAACTATGAATAATGATCTGTTTATTCATTGACATACTGATAAAATATCAATGATAAAAATACCAATATCCCTAACTTATTTTGTCCAGTATATTTGAGTCACCGTTGCTTGGACTGTTACTAATATAAAGTTTCAGCCTCATAAAACATAATGGTGCACTGGGTGGGGGTGAAAATGTATATGTACGTTTGACAGCACCATATCAATACTCTCAGGTCTCACCACAGTGGTATAGGTCTGAGACCATCATCACTTCGGGCTTACGGCAACATCAAGCTAGCTCAATTGTTCAAAGCCCTGTGAAACCCAAATTACTCACTCACTCGAAAAGGTAACAGTGAAGATTTATGACGGGCGGACAACACAATTTAGGTGAGCTTAAATACGCAGACACAAACTCGCTATATCATATACAAAATTATTCTCTCTGCCCACCTCTCCTCTACACAAACACGACATATCCCAGACAAAATCGCCCTATCCCAGAAACAAGTTCGCCTTGTACTCGACACAAACTCGCCCTATCATAAACACACACTCGCCCACTCAGAGACACGACACTCGCCCTATCAACTAGACACACACTCGCCCAATCATAGACACGAACTCGCCTTATCATAGACACACAACTCGCCCTTATCATAGACACTCGCTATCAACTCACCCTATCATAGACACAAACTCGCCCTATCATAGACACTCGCCTTCGACTAAACTCGCCCTATCATAGACACGAACTCGCCCTATCTTATCATAGACATAAACTCGCCCAATCATAGACACACACTCGCCCAATCATAGACACACACTCGCCCAATCATAGACACACACTCCTTATCATAGACGCATACACATCGCCCTAATCACAGACACACACTCGCCCTATCATAGACACACACTCGCCCAATCATAGACACACACTCGCCCAATCATAGACGCACACTCGCCCTATCATAGATCATAGACAAACTCGCCCTATCATAGACACAAACGCCCGCCCTATCATAGACGCATACTCGCCCTATCATAGACACACACTCTCGCCCAATCATAGACGCACACTCGCCCTATCATAGACACAAACTCGCCCTATCATAGACACACACTCGCCCTATCATAGACACACACTCACCACTCACCCTAGACACAGATCATAGACGCACACACTCGCCTATCATAGACGCACACTCGCCCTATCATAGACACACTCGCCCTATCATGCAGACACACACTCGCCCAATCATAGACACACACTCGCCCTATCATAGACACACACTCGCCTAATCATAGACGCATACTCACCCTATCATAGACACACACTCGCCCAATCATAGACGCACACTCGCCCTATCATAGACACACACTCGCCCTATCGTAGACACAAACTCGCCCTATCATAGACGCACACTCGCCCTATCATGGACAGAAACTCGCCGTATCCTATGACACAATAAAATATCCTGGACAATATCCTATACAAACTATCCATATTCAACACAAACTCGCCCTGTTCTCTACACAAACAGTTCAGTAGTCGCATCAAGGAACCTCTTCAGGGTAAACCTCCAATAATACTCCGCGGTGTCACTAACAATAACCTTGGTCGTTTATCCAGTTGAAATCTGTGGAAATGTTATGGTAAATGCTATGGGTAGTGGTGCTCGACAAAGTGTGCAAGGTACACCATGACCTGAATGCTATTTTAAGCTGCGGTAAAATATTCCTCTGGGATACTTCCAAAACAACAAGTGCTTGAACTACATATTTATTTTGGAAAGTTGTACTGCAGTTACGATGACTCCACTGTTTGTATGAATAACACCTACCCTCACTGCCTAGCGAACAGGTGGTCGTCCCATCTACGTACATGACATGCGCATGTGCAGTTCGCACTTATGCAAGCAATACTATTTCCAGTACATGGTGTGATATGTATGCTCTCTGTGGTATTTACCTGTAGTAAAATATTAATAGGGCCTGCCGCAGTGCGATATACCGAAAAGCTATTTGTGTCATTATTATCATTTACCATGAAACCCAGATGAATGTGTACCTCACACCCGTTACTCTTTAATGCGTACTCTTTGGTTACCCGCGTTACGAAATCTTTCCTCATCTTTACTTGCTGATCGAAAGAACGCATCTCCCATGCCTACAACTGTGCAATACTGCACAAAAGTGTCACACCTCGCTTATTGGTTTCGTTTGGTATTAATGATCCATGTTTTGTTTGTTTGTTGTTTAACGCCACACTCAGCAATATTTCAGGTATATGGCGGTAGTCTGCAAACAATCGAGTCTGGACCAGACAATCCCGTGATCAACATCATTAACATCGATCTACGCAATTGGGATGGCATGTGTCAACCAAGTCAGCGAGCCTGGCCGCACGATCCCGTTAGTCTCGCTTATTGTAATAATAAGAAGAAAAACAGAAGTTACAAGCAACAGCAGAATCATTTTTCAAAGGTGTCTACTCACTGGATTAAAATTACCAAAGGAATGGTCCAGGGGCTAAAATATATTTATACTCACAGAATACTACCAAACACCTAATGTAAAAAATATTATCAGAGTAAAATACCCAAAATGAAGATATTATCTGGATCTCAGATAATGTATCCCGATAAAGGGACAGCGTTGCTGGACTTGTTTCCATTTCCTATCTGGTTCCATGTGTTTCGGACCGCCTCCGTGGTGTAGTGGTTAGAGCGTCCGCCCGGAGAGCGGAAGGTCGTGGGTTCGATCCCCGACCGCGTCATACCAAAAGACGTTAAAATATGGTACTTGTTGGTTCCTGTCTGGCGCTCGGCATTAATGGGTACAACAAGGACTGGTCGGCTCGGAGTCAGTATAATGTGTGTGAGTGGGGTATTCATGCTTCACTGCGGCATGGTATCTCAGTGGGCTAGCACTATAAAACCAGCTTCAGTCTGGGCTAGTACAAGCAGCCGCACATACACATACACACGCATGCACGTCGTCATATGAGCGAAATATTCTCAAGCACGACGTTAAACCCAATTTCACCTCACCTCACCATGTGTTTCATCACTAGCTGTTAGAGTCATATGCATCATGCTATCGGAGTTGACAAAATACTGTTTACCGTGAATAAAACTGCCAATTAGTTAAGGCGCAATGCTCATCTAATTACAAAATGTCTAAAGTGTATTCTTACGCGAGACAAAAATGTTATTTCTTTACATCAGCTTGCTCGCTCTAATCAGCTCATAAGTAACATGCATTTTAATTGCATGTCACTTTCTGCAAGTCTATCAGTTTGCAAAACCTGATATATTTACTTTCCTCCGAGCACGCATGATGTGTTACCTTATCACAGGTGTCCATGATGTTGACCAGCAGCTCCTGTCCATCCCAGTCTTCATGCTTTGTGTACGTCCCCTCTGTAAACACAGGTGGAAGCGTTACCAGACATTAACACTGAGAGCTGGCATTGTGGGCACGTTCGGGTGAAGGAAACACACGTGCAAGCGTTACCAGACATTAACACTGACAGCTTGAGTAGTGGGCATCTATGGGTCAAGGAAACACACGTGCAAGCGTTGCCATACATTAACACTGAGAGCTGGAGTAGTGGGCATGTATTGGTCAAGGAAACACACGTGGAAGCGTTACCATACATTAACACTGAGAGCTGGAGTAGTGGGCATGTATGGGTCAAGGAAACACACGTGCTAGCGTTACAAAACATTAACATTGTTAGCTGGAGTAGTTGGCATTCATGGGTCAAGGAAACACACGTGCAAGCGTTACCATACATTAACACTGAGAGCTGGAGTAGTGGGCATGTACGGGTCAAGGAAACACACGTGCAAGCGTTACTAGACATTAACACTGAGAGCTGGAGTATAGTGGGAATGTATAGGTCAAGGAAACACAAGTGGAAGCGTTACCAGACATTAACACTGAGAGCTGGAGTAGTGGGCAGGTCAAGGAAACACACGTGCAAGCGTTACAAGACATTAACACTAGAAACTGGAGTAGTGGACATGTACGGGTCAAGGAAACACACGTTGAAGCTTTACCAGACATTAACGCTGAGAGCTGGAGTAGTGGGAAGGTCAAGGAAACACACGTGCAAGCGTTACCAGACATTAACACTGAGAGCTGCAGTAGTGGGCATGTACGGGTCAAGGAAACACACGTGCAAGCGTTACCATACATTAACACTGAGAGCTGGAGTAGTGGGCAGGTCAAGGAAACACACGTGCAAGCGTTACCAGACATTAACACTGAGAGCTGGAGTAGTGGGCATGTACGGGTCAAGGAAACACACGTGGAAGCGTTACCAGACATTAACACTGAGAGCTGGAGTAGTGGGCATTTCAAGGAAACACACGTGCAAGCGTTACCAGACATTAACATTGAGAGCTGGAGTAGTGGGCATTTCAAGGAAACACACGTGCAAGCGTTACAAGACATTAACACTGAGAGCTGGAGTAGTGGGCATGTAGGGGTCAAGGAAACACCCGTGCAAGCATTACCAGACAACACTGAGAGCTGGAGTAGTGGGCATGTATGGGTCAAGGAAACACAAGTGGAAGCGATACCAGACTTTAACACTGGGAGCTGGCGTTGTGGGCACGTTCGGTGAAGGAAACACACGTGCAAGCGTTACCAGACATTAACACTGAGAGCTGGAGTAGTGGGCATGTATGGGTCAAGGAAACACACGTGGAAGCGTTGCCATACATTAACATTGAGAGCTGGAGTAGTGGGCATGTATGGGTCAAGGAAACACACGTGCAAGCGTTACCAGACATTAACACTGAGAGCTGGGGTAGTGGGCATGTACGGGTCAAGGAAACACACGTGGAATCGTTACTAGACATTAACACTGAGAGCTGGAGTATAGTGGGAATGTATAGGTCAAGGAAACACACGTGGAAGCGTTACAAGACATTAACACTGGAAACTGGAGTAGTGGACATGTACGGGTCAAGGAAACACACGTTGAAGCTTTACCAGACATTAACGCTGAGAGCTGGAGTAGTGGGAAGGTCAAGGAAACACACGTGCAAGCGTTACAAGACATTAACACTGAGAGCTGGAGTAGTGGGCATGTACGGGTCAAGGAAACACACGTGGAAGCGTTACCAGACATTAACACTGAGAGCTGGAGTAGTGGGCATGTATGGGTCAAGGAAACACACGTGGAAGCGTTGCCATACATTAACACTGACAGCTGGAGGATTGGGCATGTACGGGTCAAGGAAACACACGTGCAAGCGTTACCAGACATTAACACTGAGAGCTGGAGTAGTATGCATGTACGGGTCAAGGAAACACACGTGGAAGCGTTACCATACATTAACACTGAGAGCTGGAGTAGTGGGCATGTACGGGTCAAGGAAACACACGTGCAAGCGTTACCATACATTAACACTGAGAGCTGGAGTGGGCATGTAGGTCAAGGAAACACACGTGCAAGCGTTACCAGACATTAACACTGAGAGCTGGAGTAGTGGGCATGTACGGGTCAAGGAAACACACGTGCAAGCGTTACCAGACATTAACACTGAGAGCTGGAGTAGTGGGCATGTATAGGTCAAGGAAACACACGTGGAAGCGTTACCAGACATTAACACTGAGAGCTGGAGTAGTGGGCATGTACGGGTCAAGGAAACACACGTGCAAGCGTTACCAGACATTAACACTGAGAGCTGGAGTAGTGGGCATGTACGGGTCAAGGAAACACACGTGCAAGCGTTACCATACATTAACACTGAGAGCTGGAGTAGTGGGCAGGTCAAGGAAACACACGTGCAAGCGTTACCAGACATTAACACTGAGAGCTGGAGTAGTGGGCATGTACGGGTCAAGGAAACACACGTGCAAGCGTTACCAGACATTAACACTGAGAGCTGGAGTAGTGGGCATGTACGGGTCAAGGAAACACACGTGGAAGCGTTACCAGACATTAACACTGAGAGCTGGAGTAGTGGGCATGTACGGGTCAAGGAAACACACGTGGAAGCGTTACCAGACATTAACACTGAGAGCTGGCGTTGTGCGCATGTACAGGTTAAGGAAACACACGTGGAAGCGTTACCAGACATTAACACTGAGAGCTGGTATGTTTTGTATAAATGTTACAGAATGGTACGTTATAAGCACGTGTCATAGAATGGTAGGTGTTGCAATTGTGTTATGCAAAAGTACATCAATGTCATTGTAAGTTATACATATCTGTTGCAAACTGATGCGCCTTATACGTGTTGCAGAATGGTTCAAAATATACAGTGTTACAATATGGTACTTTATACATAAATGATGCATAATCTATATGTGTTATAAAAAGGCATGTCAGACATGTGTGTTAGAATGTTAGGTTATAAACAGGATTATCGAACTGCTACGTGTGTGGTTCGAATGTTATAAGGAGTTATAGAATGGTACGTTATCAGTTTGAGAAAGGGGGTGGGGTGGGTGCACAGTTCATTTTCACCCGTTTTCACGAGAGTTTAATAAACTTTCAGGACAAAGGGGGGGGGGCTACAAAAACCACCCCCACCCCCATCCCTCTGGATCCGCCTATGGTTATGCAGTGGGTTATCGAATGATATAATGCTTACTGACATAAGTAAACAACAGTGCGTAATAACGATGTGTTACAGAATGAGTGTATTCATAGGTTCCTACCATTGTCAGTGATGCGCAAGTTACAACGGTCCCCGTCAAATAGTGTTATAATGTTGTACACGTTACAAACATTCATGAGTGACAGGTCTGGCATACTCGTTTTCATTTTCATGTTTTCAACAAATCATTCATATGACAAATATACTTGTCATAGCATAACATATGAAACGTAGGACTGACATAATGTTTTGAAAAACAAGAACAGAAAACTAACCATACCAGAGTGAAGGAGATGCATATGTCGGTGAATCATACCGGAAGGTAACAATCATATAAGTATGGAAGCGTATAAGTTCCACAGTTTAAAAATGAGTGAGTGAGTTTAATTTTACGCCGCTTTTAGTAATATTCCAGCATTATTGATGCGGGGGACATCAGTAATGGGCTTCACACATTGTACCCATGTGGGAATCGAACCCGGGTCTTCGGCGTGACGAGCGAACGCTATAACCACTAGGCTACCCTACCGCCCCCACAGTCTAAAAATATCCTTCGTTTGCGTAGGTAATGCTTACATCCATGTAGATGAAAGTTACGTAGAAAATACTTTCATTCACGTAGATCAGTCTACTCACGCCCGAATGCAGATACTTTAACATACGTATATAAAATTGTTATCTATCGAATTATCGCACTGAGTAACAGAATTTTATCGAGGATTGTACAATAGTTCTGGATCAGTTTTATGTAAACTCTGGTTTAATACATAATGAAAGGTATTTGTTTTTCAACAGGGGCGTTTCCATATGTACTTGTGGCTTCTACAAAAAAGACTCGTGAATTGCTGTTGTCTGTTGTTAATTTGCCATATATGTACATTCATATAAATTAATGTAATGGTTGTTTTCCCTGTCTTGTAAGTGGTACATTGTGTATAGCGTGCATAAAGGTATCTGGACTGAAGCTTGTCTAGGCATCTATTCTGGTCCAGGGAGATGCGGATGTCGACGTTGTCCACGTGATACTCACCAAGGTCAGGGTCGTATTCCATGATGAATCTCTTTGTGATGTACTTGACGGTGAGAGCTGGAAACAAACGATTTTCATATGAATAGGTATTATGGTATCTGTACGTTTCAAAATCAAATGGTGCTTACATTATTAATGGCTTTGTCATCATTTGTCCATCTGTTTCTTTGAACAAACTTCAAACCCTGGGTTATATGTTGGTAATGTCTGCAGTGACCAGACGTCTACTGTTTCTTTACACAAATATAAACGACAAAACTGTTTCCATACCTAAATCTGAAACGTAAAAGGAGAGGTCAATCGGTCCAAACATCTACCGAGTCCACAATGTCATAAGCACGGTTTAAGTAGTCTGTCTCATAGTCCCTGAACCACATTATTTGCACTACTGCCTAGACACCCCCACCCCAACCCATCCCCATTGCTAAATGTAGCAAGTCAATATTTCTCCAGGTTCACACCGGGACTCCGTTCATTTTAAATGGATTTATTTGTTACTATCAACTTATAAGCGTTAGTCTAGTGTTTGGGAATCTCTACCAAATATAGATGATAGCAGGTGTTCGCGAACAGAAGAGCGAGTTCTGTCCCATCAGTAAGACCCATCACAAACACGTATTATTTCGTTAAGTGAACATATTCCTATTCCCAAAATGGCACAATTCATGGAACCATCTACCGCTTTTCGAATCATCCTGTTGCATTTGAAGGAGTGAGCCAGGGTTAAGTTTGTTTGGTGGTCGTCGGTGAATAATGAAGTCTGGATCAGATAATCCAGTGATCTATATCGTGGTTATGAATGTATACAATTTGGATACGATGAAATGTGTCAACCAAGTCAGCGAGCCTGTCCATCCTTTCCCGTTAGTCGCCTCTTACGACAAGCATGCTGAAGACCAAGGTCTAGATTTCCGAAGCTCTCTTAGCGCTAAGATAGTCGTAAGTTAATGTTAATGTATGGCACTTACGACTATCTTAGCCCTAAGAGAGCTTCGAAAACCTAGGCCTAACTGTAACCCGGATCTTCAGGGGTTCCAGGGTTTAAGGTTTTTGACACATAATTTTTCTCTTCTTTCAAGATGTTTTACCGACAAGGAGCAACAGAACATACTTTTGGCACCGATCCTACTATTCCGTTTTTTCATCTTCACCTGTGTTCATGTGCTACAAACATGGGATTTATATTTTTTACATGAAGAAATTCAGCCAGTATGAATATTTCAAATCCATGGAAAGTGTCGAGTGCAAAACTTCAACTGAAAGTGATTGATTCCTTATGTGAAATACATATTCATGTAAACCCAAGGAATCTGAAACTGTAGAACAAGCATAAATCTGGACAACGTAATTTTAAGGCCAGACACACGCTTCTGAATAACATGTATAAGATCCCATTTCTTGTGACATTGGGCATACGTGTGTTGCCTGAAGCATTGAGACCAGATCCTAATGCCAATGAGAACCGACTTCCTGAATATGTCGAGGTTACTATGGGCAACCTGATTCGCATCTGGCCAACTGCGTGGTAGAGTTGACTGTGTAGTGACGTGTAGCATTACTCATGCTACTAACTCTATTGAGTCTGGTCCAGATCCGGACGTGTTGGTCGCCATCATAGTTTTCATGACAGCAACTTTCGCCACAGATTTACCAATGACGCTAACGACGTCGTGCCCGTAAATATATTAGTACGCCCGTACCAACTAGTACTCTGACGCTGTCGTTGATAAGGCGTATCTCTAGTTGGTGTGGAATTCTTGTAGGGCATATGTGTCATGAGAGTACATGCAATATTCTTCACGCAAAGTTTAATTACAATTATACAGCTGAATCGTGTAGACTACATGAAGCTACATGTAGGAAATGTAAAGCCACAACGTGTAGGCTATGTAGAGTTACATGTAGGCAACGTAAAGCCACAACGTGTAGGCTATGTAGAGTTACATGTAGGCAATTTAAAGCCACAACGTGTAGGCTATGTAGAGTTACATGTAGGCAACGTAAAGCCACAACGTGTAAACTATGTAGAGTTACATGTAGGCAACGTAAAGCCACAACGTGTAGGCTATGTAGAGTTACATGTAGGCAACGTAAATCTACAACGTGTAGGCTATGTAGAGTTACATGTAGGCAATTTAAAGCCACAACGTGTAGGCTATGTAGAGTTACATGTAGGCAACTTAAAGCCACAACGTGTAGGCTATGTAGAGTTACATGTAGGCAACGTAAAGCCACAACGTGTAGGCTATGTAGAGTTACATGTAGGCAATGTAAAGCCACAACGTGTAGGCTATGTAGAGTTACATGTAGGCAACGTAAAGCCACAACGTGTAGGCTATGTAGAGTTACATGTAGGCAACGTTAAGCTAAAACGTGTAGGTTATGTAGAGTTATATGTAGGCAACGTAAAGCTACAACGTGTACGCTATGTAGAGTTACATGTAGGCAATGTAAATCTACAACGTGTAGGCTATGTAGAGTTACATGAAGGTAACGTAAATCTACAACGTGTAGGCTATGTAGAGTAACATGTAGGCAACGTAGATCTACAACGTGTAGGCTATGTAGAGTTACATGTAGGCAACGTAAAGCTACAACGTGTAGGCTATGTAGAGTTATAGGTAGGCAATGTAAAGCCACAACGTGTAGGCTATGTAGAGTTACATGAAGGTAACGTAAAGCTACAACGTGTAGGCTATGTAGAGTTACATGTAGGCAACGTAAAGCCACAACGTGTAGGCTATGTAGAGTTACATGTAGGCAATGTAAAGCAACAACGTGTAGGCTATGTAGAGTTACATGTAGGCAACGTAAAGCCACAACGTGTAGGCTATGTAGAGTAACATGTAGGCAACGTAAAGCTACAATGTGTAGGCTATGTAGAGTTACATGTAGGCAATGTTAAGCTACAACGTGTAGGCTATGTAGAGTTACATGTAGGCAACGTAAAGCCACAACGTGTAGGCTATGTAGAGTTACATGTAGGCAATTTAAAAGCCACAACGTAGGCTATGTAGAGTTACATGTAGGCAACGTAAAGCCACAACGTGTAGGCTATGTAGAGTTACATGTAGGCAACGTAAAGCCACAACGTGTAGGCTATGTAGAGTTACATGTAGGCAACGTAAAGCCACAACGTGTAGGCTATGTAGAGTTACATGTAGGCAACGTTAAGCTACAACGTGTAGGCTATGTAGAGTTATATGTAGGCAACGTAAATCTACAACGTGTACGCTATGTAGAGTTACATGTAGGCAATGTAAATCTACAACGTGTAGGCTATGTAGAGTTACATGAAGGTAACGTAAATCTACAACGTGAAGGCTATGTAGAGTAACATGTAGGCAACGTAGATCTACAACGTGTAGGCTATGTAGAGTTACATGAAGGTGACGTAAATCTACAACGTGTAGGCTATATAAAGCTACCTACAGGCAAACATAAAGCTACAACGTGTCGACTGTGTAGAGCTACCTGTAGGCAACGTAAAGCCACAACGTGTAGGCTATGTAAAGCTACAACGTGTAGTCTATGTAGAGTTATCTGTAGGCAACGCAGAGCTACAACACGTCGACTGTGTAAAGCTACCTGTAGGCAACTTAGATCTACAACATGTCGACTGTGTAGAGCTACGTATAAGCAACGTAGAGCTACAACATGTCGACTGTGTAAAGCTACGTATAAGCAACGTAGAGCTACAACGCGTCGACTGTGTTCAGCTACATATATGCAACGTAGAGCTACAACGCGTCGACTGTGTAGAGCTACCGTAGGCAACATAGAGCTACAACGCATCGACTGTGTAGAACTACCGTAGGCAACATAGAGCTACAACGCATCGACTGTGTAGAACTACGTGGAGGCAACTTAGATCTACAACATGTCGACTGTGTAGAGCTACGTATAAGCAACGTAGAGCTACAACGTGTCGACTGTGTAAAGCTACCTGTAGGCAACTTAGATCTACAACATGTCGACTGTGTAGAGCTACGTATAAGCAACGTAGAGCTACAACGTGTCGACTGTGTAGAGCTACGTATAAGCAACGTAGAGCTACAACGTGTAAGCTATGTAGAGCTACCTGTAGGCAACATAAAGCTACAACGTGTAAGCTATGTAGAGCTACCTGTAGGCAATGAACAGCTATAACGTGTAGGCTGTGTAGAGCTACGTATAAGCAACGTAAATCTACAATGCGTCGACTGTGTAAAGCTACCTGTAGGCAACTTAGTTCTACAACATGTGGACTGTGTTGAGCTACCGTAGGCAACGTAGAGCTACAACGTGTAAGCTATGTAGAGCTACCTGTAGGCAACGTAGAGCTACAACGTGTAGACTGTGTAGAGCTACCTGTAGGCAACGTAGAGCTACAACGTGTAGACTGTGTAGAGCTACCTGTAGGCAACGTAGAGCTTCAACGTGTAGACTGTGTAGAGCTACCTGTAGGCAACGTAGAGCTTCAACGTGTAGACTGTGTAGAGCTACGTATAAGCAACGTAGAGCTACAACGTGTAAGCAATGTAGAGCTACCTGTAGGCAACGTAGGGCTTCAACGTGTAGAGTACACAAAAGTTACGTGTTCGCAACGTAAAGCTACAACGACTCGTTTGTAAAATGCTACGCATAGTCTATGTAAAGCTACAACATATAGACACAGTAAAACTACAATGTGTAAATGTAAAGCTACAATGCACATATTTAGTAAAGCTACAACGACTCGTCCACAAAAAAGCTACATCGTGTAAGACCATACGACGCTACAATGCGTTCTACAGATATCAGCATATCTCACCTATAGGTGATAATGCGATTATTGTTTTTGTTGTTTATGCAGGTTCCGCGATCTGGGGCTCCTAACGTAGAATGTATCGTGTGCCAATATCCAACAGGTTTCGGTGTATGTTATACCAAGCCATGCGCCTGGCTTCACAGATTACAAAAACAGATAGGACGCAGTAAACAACATGTGAGAAACGGTACACCACGGCTCACTGGGATCACTGACAGAGCAGGAGCGAGGAGAGGTATGCATGATGTAACTGTTCAGATGATAACACCTTAACACGGAAACATGGTCCATGTCACACGTGACGTCACACACCAGCACGTGCACTCACCTGACTTCCCCACCCCTAGAGAACCCACCAGGGCGATGTTGTATTCCGGGACTCCACCATTGCGATGAAACACCTTTCCTCTTCCTGACATTTTGACTACACACCTGTCGACGATGCTGGGAACGGTATCACCATGGCTTGGGACACGGGATATGAAATGTTTTGGTTTACAATTGACCTCCCTGACAACTAATCCAAACAATATTTTATCATTTTAACTTAACGTCACTGGAGATGATGTATTTTGATATCAAACTGAACTCAGATAGCAGGAACATGCTCCATTTCCATGAATAGGTTCTTGTAGATAAGACAGTTCCAATTAGTACGATATGATTCAAAGTACCATTTATTATCTTCAAATGAGCTTGTGGCAAAGGATATTTTATCTGCTATCTTGATGCTGTCACTGATTGAACAATTTCACAAGCTGAACTGGCACCGGTTAATGACCATGACTTGTAAATATGGGCACAACGAAACGGACTTAACAGAATCCACAATTTCAAAGAATCCATCAGAAAACTTCCAAACACAAAAAAATGATTCCCTGGGTGAAATTTCAAAGAATATTTGGCGTCGCGTTTCTTCCGCTTGGGAATGTTTATCGTAGTAAAACTGCACTGGTTTACTCTTTAAATCCAACTTTCTTCATCTCGCGGCCACGTTTCTGTAACGGTGAACGCTGTCCGCAGCACTATCTCCCCCGCACAGCTGTTTCCCACACTGGCGTATTATGTAAGTCCAACAGGAGCAGAATGAAGCAAGGCAGTCTGTAAACAAGGTTCCTGATACTCCAAGGCACAAAGTGGTTACCTCGTTATAACAATTCACGATTACCTGTGTATAACAACCTCGTTATAAAGGTGTTTCACTACAGCGAGTCTCCATGTCTATTAACCACCTTGCCACGTTTATATCCACAGTTTGATCGAGAGCGTCTCTTGCCTTTGGATCCAGCGTTCGGTAGATCACCACCAACTTGACGCGATCACTCACCAAGTCTATAAACCCTCCTAAATGATTTCCCACTGCTATTATCTTCCCATTCTGGAGTATGTTTGCGCTAGCACCAAACTGTAGAAGTTATGAAACATCTTTAGGTTCAAACCCATTGTGCATTGTCTAGTTCCAGCACATACAGCCAGGCTCTATCATGCAAAGTTCCTCAAGCGCCTAAGGATGACGGTATCTGACTGCCAAGCCTGCGCGTTCACGGCCCCCGACTGCGAGAGAAGAGATAGGCCCGACCCGCACATGTGTTGCTGCTATTTCAGGATGCTGTGGGGATAGGAGTGGAGTCTCTTCACCCCTCAGCGCCCGGGGATGCCGCGGCTTTACTCAACCCAAACAGTTATCATAACCCCGGCCGTCCTCGTATCATCAGTTTTCGGTGTAAATGAAGACCTGCAGCCCGAGGGATAAGATTGTGTTCTGCGAGGGTGGGGACCAAGATGAGAAGGGAGTGCCAGCTCTCCGGGAGAATACACCGAAGGGATCATTTGGGTACGGGCAGTGGGTAGTATTGGGAATTCTATGGATATGGGTGTGCTTGCATCCACTATGGGACACCAGAGGTCTCTGGGGACACGGGGTGTGTGGGAGTGTTAGGGTAGGGGATGGGTGTGGGGGTAAGGCGGTGTGAATGAGGGTGTTTGGGTGGGCCTGGATGAGTGGGGCGTGAATGGATGGGGCTGGGTGGGCTTGGATGGGTATGGTTTGTTTGAATGGGGGTGGGTGAACTTGGACGAGCGGGGTTTGTTTGAATGGGGGTGGGTGAACTTGGACGAGCGGGGTTTGTTTGAATGAGGGTGTTTGGGTGGGCCTGGATGAGTGGGGTTTTGTATGGATGGGGTTGGGTGGATGGGATCAGTGAACCTTTGGCAGGATTTGTGAAGTTGGGGCGAGGTGAAGGTGACCCGTTAAAGAAAAGTTATGAAAAGGTTTAATATCAAGAACAAGGGATGAGGATTGTGATGTCATCTACAATATGAACGAATACATAATTCAATCATGTTCTAGATAATATAGATATGTATAGTACTGTGAAGAGTGCGCGGTGGGCAAGACGGGCTGGGTCGGTATTGATGACAAGGTGTGTGTTGAGATGGGGGATAAGTGGAAGGAGATAGATATGATAAATATATGTTCTTAAGACTGAGTGAAGGGGGGTGGGTGATAAAGAGGGAGAAAGGTGTCCTTCCCTGAGTAGGGTGCTGTTAGGGTTTAACTGGTACAGACACAGTACAAACCTGATACCTAAGTAGGGGAGGGACTGCCATATGTATTTGCACCTAGATCACCTTTACTTGATCTCTATTTCAGATCTAAAGCAATTTCATTTATGAGAATATTGACGTTAACACGTTCATTCATATCTATGAACGACACCAACAGGAATTACAAATACATCACTACTTTCCGGTTCGGATACATATACATGACAAGAGCACACATCTGGAAAAAAATAGATATTTAAATAGTAAATTTCGAAGCCATCATTTTGGGTTTCGTAATGTCTCAAAGAAGAAAACGATAAGATGTCCTTTCGTATCTAGTCTGTAATGTTACTGCATGAAATGGACTTTGTCAGCGTTAACAGAATGGATTTTTTAACACTATATCCACTGTAGGGAATCGGATCCTGCTCTTCAGGGCATACAGTGCATCCTAACCAACCACTCGTCCCACAGGGAAATAAGGAACCTCTAAATGCGAAGATAGGTTTGGCTAAAATGGCCACCAACGACTAGGTTTGTTTTCATGGAATTAACATTTGAACACAATTCCCCTGAGTTGTAACCCAGTAGCAAGGCGATATATACCTTTTGGCTATACATACGATGATGCACGCACACGCACACGCACACGCACTCGCGCGCAGACACACACATCGCAAGCCACAGTGTGTCTGAAATACTGCTGTCTTGACTATAACTCAACTTGATCAACTTATTCAGTTATACTCTCTCTCTCTCTCTCCCACTCAAACTCAATCTTTCTCTCTCTTTGTGCGTGCGTGCATGCATGCGTGCGTGCGTGCATGTGGATACTTCAGCCATCCGCCCACCCCTATTATATATATGATAGAATTACGATGTTCCTGTGATACTGCCGTCGTGACAACTCACTCACTCACTCACTCACTCACTTACACACTCACTCCATTATATTTTTAATTTTTACCACTCCCTTCGAGATTGCTGTTGGCTATTTACAGCATTCTATGGGAAACATTTGCATGGCCTGAAATGACACGTTAAGAAGGAAAGGCTCATGGGATCTACTTTGCTGATGCAGGTTTCATAATTAAAACCATCCCACTGAAATGAGAGACGGAAGATTAGCAAGGAACTGTGAAGAGCCACCTTTAAAAACACAAGTCCCGTTACATCACTGCAAAACATGGCCTATAACCGTCAACCTAATATTCTCTAATGTTTAACATGTTCAAACATTAAGCTCATGGTAATATTCATACTGATCGTACATTCTTGTTTCAATCTTTTCTCTCTAAATCGGCACTTTGCATAAGTCAATATTCTGACAGAATCGTCTTTGAGAACATTAACATAGCTCAAGACCACTTCAGGCACCCGTCCAAATCTACAGGCGCCATTTAGTTCGTTTCAACTTTTATACGTGCATGTTTTGTATTACATGTACATTTCATCTCGACCATTTCACATTCTTAGCAGATCCATCACTTGACACTGACCCTCGGAGTGAGAGGCTGCGTTCTCTTACTGTATTTAAAGACATTATTCTAAAATCAGACCTGTAGTTAGTGGCATGTTCCTGAAACAGGCGCCTCCGTGAAATACTTGAAGTGTTCCTTACTGTCCGCCCACACCATAACGTTCACATTGGCTGGTAACGAGCTCAATCTTGGGAATGTCGCTTTTTAAAATATTTTTGGGCCGTGGCTTCAATTTTCTAGTTCACCTGTGCCTTAAACTCCACGTTGATGTTCTGCTGTACATATAAATATTTACAAAAATCACATTTTATGATCATATCTAACTAATGGCATCAAACATGATAAGGTTCGGTTGAAACAAATATATTCTAAATAACGTATCTATACTTTTTAGTATTATATATTTTTAATTTTAATCCTAATACAGGTATTTATTTTAATTCTTAACGTTCTGTTAAAACAAACGAAGTATTTATTCCAAAAAACGTGTCTATTTTTACTAATACATTTTTTAGATTCATTATAATTCTTAACGTTCTGTTAAAACAAACAAAGTATTTATTCCAAAAAACGTGTCTATACGTTTTACTGATACATTTTCTTAATACAGGTATTCATTATAATTCTTAACGTTCTGTTAAAACAAACAAAGTATTTATTCCAAAAAACGTGTCTATACGATTTACTGATACATTTTCTTAATACAGGTAGTCATTATAATTCTTAACGTTCTGTTAAAACAAATGGTATTTATTCCAAAAAACGTGTCTAAGGATACATTAATACAGGTATTCATTATAATTCTTAACGTTCTGTTAGAAGGCATCTATGCTTTTCACTAGTATATTTCCTTTACATTAATTTTTAATACAGGTCTCAGTGTTATGCTTATTTAATTTGGTTGGCTGGTGTAAGAACTCTCTTACCACGGGGAAGGGTTATCTGTAAGAAGGAGACTTGTGTCAGTAAGAAGTGAGATCGGTTGTTTAATAATGAGGCTGAATACCACTGACATATGGGTTTGTAATGCTGACTGTGCTATTACTGTAAGTACCATTGAAAGTGGAAACACAGACTTAAACACGCCATTGCTGGTTTAATAACAAACTCAGCTTCAGTTAATGTCTGGAAAACCTTATGCTGAGAACAAGCTACGAAGAAACACGTTGGTGTTATGTGTGGGTGTCTAAATTCTGCGCCATTTCATCTATGCAATAGCAGCGTTAGAAGTATGGCTGAGAGAAAAGCCAGCTTTACGGTTTGAAATCATGATAGGGGTAATTAACTCTTGTTTATGAGCCCTCATCGAGGATCTGCACCAAACCAGTTACACTGTTCTTTAAGGGAGTTGGTCGGAAGCCAGCAGAGATGCCAGATTCAAAGAACAGTTAAACACCTGGATGCTTCAGGGAAGAAGAGGGGTGAGGAGGGTGGGAGATGGGAGGAGGGGGATGGAGGGTAAAGGTATGAAGCTGAGACAGGTTTCAGAGGGGGAGGGAAGCGTTGTTTACAGTGATGTGGTACATCAGCCGCCTCATGCTCTTTTTACGCACATCAGGTGGGAGGCTCATCTCACCACAGGAAGTGATGCCGCTGTCGCGAGATAGTGCCAGATTTATTTAAACAAGATGGAGTGACGAAGGAAGATAGGAGAGAAAGAACGATGAAGCATGCAAGACGAACTATCCAAATTCATCAAAAACAATTAGAGATATCTGTTATGCTGATGTTTTCGACCCTGTAACGTACACACACATAAACTATTCCACGCTTTGCATAAATATGAGGACCCACTAATGAAATGTTATTGGTGTGACGAAACGTTTCTTTTATCAATACTTTAACCAGTCTTTTATTTCACGGAGCAATCAAAACACATGTCACGTCACAGATTACAGTGACATGTAACAGTCGATAATAATTTCGAACAGATTTCTAAATTTTAAGTTAACTATAGTCTGAGCTATGGGTTATCTATTATGTTAAACAAGATATGCAAGAAATGCGACAATGAGGGACAATATACAAAAGTGGTCGAGGTTGAAGAAAGTCTGTCTGCAGAGTTCCATACATTATATCCAACCAGTTGTTCACTTCTTCCTCGGAATTATGTTATAATCTGAATATTTGTGCAGTTTCAATTATTTATTTTTTTCATAAAAATATATAAATATGCATTTCTCTGTGAAATAATTCCTGGAAGAAAATTGTTGATAACCTTTAATGGTACTAAATGGACATTACCTTTGTATGACATGTTGGTGATGATGTGATAAGCCAATCATCAAACGTATTGACTTTGCTGTAGTACAAAACTTAGCTGACGTTTTACTTCGACAAATATTCATTCCATATTCGTAGTAACTCAGTGCCAAACGCAGTCGAATGGTTTACAATGTCGGCATATCACACTAACAATTCACTCTCTAAAAATGATATAGTAATACTGACGAAAGTCTATGGCAAAAGTGTACAATGTTACTCTCTTTTTCGCATATATGAGTATATTTTCATCTTTTGTGTCGTCCATTTCTGTCAGTAAATATATA